CTCTACCACTTCGGTTGGCTGCGCCTCCTCTACCACCGGCAGTTCTTCTACAAGTCACACACACACACACACACACACACACCTCTTATGTTTTGCTGCAATGGAGCGGCAAACGCTCATGCTTATCTAACCCCACTCACCCGTTATCTCCGCGACTGTTGTGGTGCTAATTGTTTTTGCGCTGCGAAGCATACCAGTTTCTGGCTCTATCACTTCACCACTGACCACGCAAGAGTACTGACCGACATCTTTGGGAGAGAATTCTCGAATGGTTAGGCGAGCGAGACCCTGCTCCTCAACGTAGACCTCCTCGTAGCGCTCCGAACTCTGAAGTTCTCGACCGTTGTGTGTCCACTTCACGGTTATCGGCTTCAAATCGGCCTGAATTTCGCATTCCAAACTAAAATTTTTACGAGCATTTAGCTGCCAGCGACAGAACACCCCTAACTTCACAACGCCTTTGCCTCCACGTCAGATAAATACATGAGGCCTAAACTGTTCCACGTGACACAAATCTACAAAGCACGTTTAGCATTTGCGACTACTGAGCACTTACTCTAGAATGCGCTCCTCGTTGGGAGTTAGGGCAGGTTGGAGGGGTTTGGTGAATTTAAGCTCGCAAATCTGCACACTTGGAGTCTCCAAAACAGGTCGCTCCTCCACCATCTCCTCCTCGGGAATTTTCGTTTCGTCTATTTTCTTATCGATTATTGTTTTTGGTCCTGGGTGCTCTTTCGGACTTCCATCACATACATCTGGTTTTTTTTCCTGTAGCTCACATGTAGTAACAACTTCCTTATCTGGAGTCTTAGCGGTTGCCTGGACTGTCACAGCTGCATCAGTGAGTGGATTGAAGTCTCGAATTGTGAGTTGTGAAATTGTAAATGTTGGATGGGTGTTATCCACCAATGATACAATCTCACTGCGGCTAGCAGTTTGCGGGTGGCTTACGGTCCAGGTAATCTCTGCTTGAGGTATAGCTTCAACTGCAACTACCAAAACTACGTCTTCGCCAGCAGCAGATTGCATCGTCGGTTGAAGAGGTTGAACCAGACGAAGTGGAACAGGCACAATAACCTCCGGGGTCTTTGTGGCTTCCGTAGCACTACTTTGAGGAATCACATACAGCTTACAGGTGCTCAGCAATTTTTCACCCTGAGGATAGACCACCTCAACATTTACCGTGCCCGTACATTTCGTTTCCGCACGTTCAATTGTGAGGGTAGACTGAAACCGTCTTTTCTCAATGACGATTTCACTGAACAACTTTGAGGACACTTCTATTCCATTGAAGTACCATTTAAAGTCTAAAGGAGCTTCCGTTGGTTGTACAGCACATTCGAGGACAACTTTATGTGCTTCCCGAACTTCAACGAGTGGTTCTAAGTTGCGAGTGAAATGTGCAATGAACTTCTCTGGTTTATCTTTCTCCTGTGTAGCATGAAGTTCACAGGATGTTGTTATTTCCTTGTCTAGATTCTTTGCGATGGCCCTGATGGTTACATTATCGTCGATCAGAGGATTAAATTCATGAATAGTTATCTGCGAAATTGTTCTTGTTGGATGATATTGGTCAATCAGTGGAGCAATTTCACAGCGTTTCGCCGTTTCGGGGTTGTCGACGACCCATGTAATTTCAGCATGCGGAACAGATTCAACGGCAGTAATCAGTACGACATCTTCACCAACGTGTGGCATGACGTTCGGTTGGAGGGGCTGAACAAATTGAAGGGGAACAGTAGTCGATGGTACGTAATCCTGTGGGGTGACTTGCGTCTCCAGAATCGAGGTCGAATTAACGGAAGCCCCATTCGACGTTGTCGCTTGGACATGTATCTTCCCTGGAACCATTTCTGACTTAACTTCTGGAATGGTAAAAGAGCATCTCATAGGCTCGCTGTCGTCGATCACAAAGTCTGGAGCCGTTCTCGGAATCTCGATCCCGTTAAGGTACCACTGAAAATTGACTGATTCATCTGCTGCCACTTCACATCCCAAGGTAACTGGACTACCTGGTTGGACGACAGTTCTTTCAGGAAGAGGTTGAATGAACCTCAACGAAGAGGAAGGACCAGTGCATTCCAAATTTAGGATAGTTTTACAGACTGTTATGCCTAGCTCATTCTCGGCTCGGATCATATATTCTCCGGCGTCGTCCTTGACACGAAGTTTGTTTATGAGTAGGACGTATCGTTCATTGACTTCATCAACAATGAGTTCGCATTTACTCATCAGTGTGGGTGACTCAACGCGAGTGGGTATGAATTCAACATCATTGTGGAAATAGCGAACCTTCGGCTTCGGTACCCCGCACACTGCACATTCAACTCTGTGGAAAGGAAGTAAAAATAGACGGATTATAAGACTACCACAACCAGTGTGCTTAATTTGCATTTACTGTGCTTGGATAGCTGTCTTGGTGTGAGTAGCCACTGGCTAAGGTCAAACCGACAGAAAACTTGCAACAACTGCGATCTGATTCTGATGAACACATTGAGTGGGCAAACACGCTATGATAAAATTCCAGAGCGTTATCTTACAGCCGTATTACGAAAATTGGTAGACTCACTTTCAAATGACCAATAATAAACATTGATTATCAATCGTGGCATGTGGATACTCAGTAAAACCACGGTTGATAAGGTGACAACACAGGGAAGACCGCTTGCTGACCTGACAATCTACGACGTGTTTAGCCGGACTAAACGTGCGTGAGTCAGTCATGTGTAAAATGGGGGAGGACGATAACCAATCACCATGGCCTTTTGAGAGGCTAAGCAGGACCATGTGACTCAAGGTCTACGACGTGTACTAACACGTTTTCGCTGGTAAATATGACCATCCCATGGGTTCTGGAAATGTGTGGTTAGTGCTCCCATGCGAATCCATTTTTAACGGTTTTTTTTAAATTAATCTGAATGGCTGCCATTCCCAAGTCCATTAATTGTGTGGCTGACGTCAACAATTGAAAGCTGTGTTTTAGGTCCTGTTGTCAATTATTAGCATTTGCAATTCTTATAACACTCGAACCTCAACCAAACACAAAACTCTAAGGTTCTGTGCTGCGCTGTAACCATGCTAACGGTACACATGTGAATGACTTCTAGTATTTACTTGCTTAAGGACAACCAAAAAACCTGCTTACTCAATTGTAGATTCTTCAGGTGCTGTTATCTGGGCGGGTGGACACGTCGTAAAGATTGGAGGTTGCTCTTTCAGCTCTAAGAGGAGAAAGAATAGAATAATTAACGATAAAGAGAATGACAACTAATTACGAAAATAAACTCAAACCTGGCCTGACAACAATGTTAGTCCTGGTGATTGCCTTGCCGTGTTTGTTGATTGCTTCAACAGTGAATTCAGAGCTATCAGATTGGAAGAGTTCAGCTACCTCCAGGCGATGGTGTGTTGAGGAAACTTGTGCGATTTGAATGTCAGGTGTTGGAGAAAACGGCGTTCCATTTCGCTTCCAAACAAGCTGCGGAGTTGGTTTTCCGATTGCCTCCACATCCAACGTGAGAGAACTACCTTCTGGAAGCTCCATAGTTTCTTCTGGGAAGGGAGTTATGAACTCGGGGGCTTTGTCAGTAGCTGGAACGGCAAATGGTTTCACAAATGCGAATAACAGAAGTGCCAAACACCCAATGTAAAAAAAATTTGTTTAATATTGAGTCCGATTTTTTAAATGTATACTTTTGTTTGACCGCAAGCAGATGGTCATATTTGGCAGTTGAAACTGCAACGAACAGCGCTGTCAGGAGTAATTTGGCGCATTATTAAGTACACATCTAAACATACGTTTTGGCGTTAACCTTCAAGTTCAGTATTTGCTAAATTACTTTGAAAATACGAGTACTGTGATTCTATGGGTAACTTACGGGGAGTAACTTTGGTATAAGTTGTGGTGGCCTGGTTTAAGTATACAACAAAAATGAGTATTTCAGCAACACTTACACATTACTTCGAGGCGGAAGGAAGTTTCGGCCACACCTGCCGGATTGGTGGCTCGAAGTGTATACTCGCCTGCATTTTCATTTAAGACTCTGGTGATTTGAAGGACTGCTTTTCCGTCAGGAGTCATCGATGGCAGAAAGTACGCTGATGGGCGAATCGCTGTCTCACCCATAAAAGTCCAAGTTACTTCAGGCACTGAAAATCAACGAACCGACTTATGTTGGCATTACAAAATAGGGAATTCACCAGGTTTATATGAATACGTGTACAAAATAATGAACCTTTCTTTCAGAACCCACCACAAGTGTGAACTACATTCGAGGTGCAGTGTGACGGTTACCCACACGAACAGTGCTTTGGTTTATCCAACCAAAGCACTGTTCATGGGATTGACTTACTTGGAGTTCCAGCTACCTGTGCGACGAAGGTCACGGGTGAAGCCTCCTGAACTTGAGCATCTTGTGGTCCTTGCAAAATTACTGGTGGACACAAGGACTGAACCTGCTGCTGTGGAGATTCTACAAAGAAAATGTCGGCTGTGGAATAAAAATCGTAGCAACAATCCTCAAAACCGCCAAAGTAGTCTTACGTTCAACATCAAAGGTGGTCTCAAATAATGCTCGTCCGTGGGGGTTCACGGCGATACATCGATAGAGCCCAGAATCTTCCGGAAGAACTTCTTGGATAACTAGCTTGTGGAAAGGAGGCTTATCGAATTGTTGGACCCTTGAAGACTGCTCCAGTGGAGCCCCGTTGTGCTCCCAGAAGACATGTGGTATTGGCTCTCCAGCCACCTAAAAGAGGTATGGGGAAAATTTTTGTCCATGCAGATGTAGGTAAAACCACATTTTTACCGTGGTTTGCGTTGCAAAAAATGTTTAATGAAATGCGGCAGATCTCGTTATCTTTTCAAAAGGTCTTGCAACTTCATAAAAAAGACGTCAATTTACCTAAATTTACATGGTTGTATTTATTTAGCCTCTACGTGAACTGTGATAGACGTGAAGGGAATACAAAACTCTTGCTTACTTTGCATTCGATGGTAACCTGTTCTCCTGGCTTCAGGACATTCTTTTGTGGTGGCATAGGCTCCATGAAAGTAGGCGCCGAGATCTGTGGCGTGACCACCAACCGCGAGGTAACCGTTGCTTTCCCTGCCGGATTCTCTGCCACAGCAGTGAACACACCAGCATCTCGTGGATGTGTCGAGGGGATAAAGAGTCGGCTTGTCATCTCCGGAGTCTGTGTAACCTCGCATGAAAGCTGACGGTCTACTTCTACACCGTCCTTGAACCAGGTTACCACTGGAACTGGCTCCCCATCAAAACCAACTTCAAAACTGGAAATGTAGAAATGTTTATGGTTAAGCCAAGTTCATGAACTCAAGGTTGTGAATGTGGAGAAACTTACACTGCACTTTGGCCCGCAGTAGCTGTGACCGTATGGAGCACTGTTGTGAATGTGGGTGGTTTCATGGTTGGCCCGGCGGGGACAGGTTCTTCCATGGATGGCACTTCTTCGAAACGTTCTGAACAAGAAAAGTCTGTGATGCCCACCGTATGCCACCAAAAAAAATGAATTGCTTCGATCTCTAGAGACCAGTCTTGCCTCAAACCTGTCAGCTAAGCACTAATAAGATTCAAAAATCCGAGCACAGAACAAATGAGATAACTTTTGTACAAAATATTGTAAAATTGAGATGCACCAATTCCTTACGTTATTTTATTGTGCGAATAGGAATGGTGAAGGGTAGTTATTGTCGACATTTAATGTTTCAAATCTTACTCTGGACAGGTCGCAGTTGTGGAATCTTTCCAGGGGCTGGCAAAATTTTCAAGTTGGCTGATGCTGTTGCGATGGCATTGGGTTCAAGTCGCGAAACCTCTTCTGGAACATCGGCTCGTAGTGCTTCGACAGTAACAACGCCACTTTCTTCTTGTCGGCACTGACGGAGTTCAAGATGGTGAAGAAGGCCGTCAAAGTAGATGGATTCTCTGGCTTCTTCAAGACGTCCTTCAAGAGGCAGTGTGGGCTGAACGCGTATACCATTGATGTACCAGTTGACGATCGGCTGTGGGTTTCCTACGACCATGGTTGAGAATCGGGCAGTGTTGCCCTCAACTATTTCAACGGATTTTGGAGCCTGACGAATCTCAGGATAGGGAGAATCGCTTGGTCTACAGCAGCAGGAGAGATGAAATCTTAGAATGGGAAAGGTATTAAGTGCTGTTGACTGAAGCGCGTGAGGTCCTTAGAAGAGCCCAAGCAATTTTATGGGATTGTATGTTGCAGTGTAGACTACACGACATCAATGATTCGATTCACATTTCAAAACAAGACCATTGTATACCAACCTGACAACCTGATATTCCAGTCTGTACTGACGCTGTTAAGGTTTGATTGTCGAAGAATTTCAGAAAATGTAGCGTGATTGGTGTATGTGATGCATTAGGTTAATGGTCTATTCAGGGTCATTTTATTTATGACTAGTGCGAGTAAATTTATACCTCTTTAGCTCCATTTAAATCACTGGAGGAACAATATTTCGTCTGAAAATTGCAATGCGGGTAAATTCTACTTCCAATGGTTTATTTGCTCAGAATATAAAATTCAGTTTCCCACTTACCCAGTGACAGAAGTGCGTTTCTTGGGGGTGAAAAGCACCTTTTGGGACTCCACAGATACTGGCTTCGGAACTAAGGCATCAGTAAAAAAGACTGTTACAGCTGATCTCGGATGTCTTATTTGAAAATGTTTTTATTTCACACCCTACCTTCAAGATTGATTTTCGTGCGGAAAGTTGCTGTTCCAGCTGTGCTAGAGGCAAGACATTGCCAGGTCCCAACATCTTCCGGGGTGACCTCAGCAATCGACAACGTTGTCTTATTAGTGTCGGTAAGTATCTGGATTCGATTACTGGGTGTTTCGGTCGGAGGAACTAGTCTGTAATAAAATTGGCCTCAGTTCTCTTACGTTAGTAAGACATGAATTATGAAATATGAAACTAATATACTTTTACATTTAATTCTTTACATTGTTTGAATTAAAAAGCAACTGAATTGTATGTATTGTATTCAGCCATTTATTCATTACAGGCGGCATCGGATGGATCTATGAACTGCTATGGAATAAGGAAAGCCAGAGGCTTACTTTCCATCTTTGTGCCAGGAGATCACTGGCGTAGGAGTGCCCTTGAATGTAGCCTCCAACAAAATCGGTTGACTGACGGTCGTGGTGATGCTGGGAGCTGGCTTTCTAATGAATTTAGGCGGCACGGGAACTACTTGAACCTTGGGTTGAATTTTTACGGGGAAGATAAGTTCCTTAACTCCAACCGAGTTGCTGGCAACACACCTATACGTTCCACTGTCTGCGTTCGCTAACGGAGCTTCCAACGTGAGGCAATGAACGGATTCGGGAAGTGAAAGTATCTAAAAATTGTACAGTAGTGTAAGTTTAAACATGTAAAGCAGTTTTCTTTAACACAACTCGCCTTTCATCTACCTTATGCTTAAAGTCGGGACGAACGGGACGCTCATTACAAAACCACGAGACGTTTGGTTCGGGAATACCGTGAACTTGAACTTCCAGTTTCACTGGGAGTCCCTCGGAAGCGTAGAAAACGCCAGTTGGTTCGATGGTGGTCCCGTGAATCTCGTGTGGTGGTGGCAGGACGAGGGGGGCCCTTAAGAAGCTGGGCGCCACACCCAACGCCTCGTGCATGGGTTCTTTGGGAGTGGTTTCCAAAGGAGTATTTACGTAAAGCTGAAATAATATGACATGCAAAAAGTTATTAGACTTATAAGCGAAGACCGTTTACTTATTTGCACACATGCGCACATATTTACGAATTTGCTCCAATACCTGTGTTGTGGTTGTGTCCTGGCCTGAGGGATTGACAGCTATCGCTGTGTACTTTCCAGCATCGATGGGCCCGGGCTGAGCAATCATGATTGAGACTGTGTTGTCGGGCTAAAAAAAGAAACCACACGGTTATTTTCAGTGTTACAGAGGACAAAATTTATTCTTTTAAATAACTGTAAATTTCTACCTCAACCGAAGTAAAAACTCGATCATTTGGAGCGAGTGGTTGTCCATCCTTCAGCCAACTAACTGAAGGCCGCGGAACTCCTGTCATTTGTGCAGTCAGTCTAATCGGGACATTCTCATCCAGTGTGACAGATTCAGGAAGGTGTCGCACAAATACTGCCGGTTGGCTACTTCCTTCTGGATGTGGGAACTCCACTAGAATTGGATTAAACTCAACCGGCGGTCTCTCTAGAGTCATTTCGAAACCACTGAAGTGGCGTTCGGGCGTTGCTAGCTCTACATCCAACACGACCGGTGAGAACTTCTCTTCAACTTGAACGGCAAGTTCAGTTTTTTCAGTGGGTACATAGGGAACTTCCACAGTGACCGGAGCTAGTGGTCTAGTCAAGTCGATGCGAGTCATCTCAGTGAATCTGAAATGGCGATTGGATACGTGGATAAGCGGTTGCAAATGAAAGCATTGAATGAGAGAGTTTTATGACTTTCGGCTTACTCTTGAATTATTGTCAGCCGAGTAATTGATTCGACTGATCCGTACGCGTTGGATGCGCGAACCATGTATTCACAGTTGTCCTCTTGTGAAATCGAATGAATAACTAGTCGGTAGAGTCCAGTGTTTGCACTTTCTTCCATTCGATATTTGACGTCCGGGAAGATCTCAAGTCCACTACGATACCAAGATACCCTAGGAGGAGGTTGACCTGAAATCTCTGCTTCCAAGACAACAGTATCTCCGACTTTGCACGAGACGGTCGGAGCTGGTCGCTTAAGGAATTCGGGCCGTCGCCCCTGTTGTTTGGCTTCAAAAACAAACAGACCTGACTTGAAGATGGAAGAAACGTATGCTACTATAGGTAATATATTAATTCGTTCTTACGCGGCGGTGAAATAACGTTCAGGTTAACGAAGGTTTCCGCTTGTCCTGCCGAATTTTCCGCTACACATCGATAGGTGCCAGAATCAGTTAAGAATAGCTCATTTATGACTAGATGACCAGTCATTGAAACCGGTTCATCTAAAATGGCCTCAGGACTGGCCAGTTCTGGCCCTACTTGGGTTATGTCATGCTCTGGGGTCGATTCCAGCGGCTGTCCGTTTTGGTACCAGTGTAAGAATGGGATAGGGTTACCCATTGCTTCGGCCATCAAAGTAAGCGGACTTCCAGCTGGCAAAGTGATTTCTGGCTGCAGAGGCTGAAAGCGGAAAGTGGTTTACGCACGGTATTGAAAAAACTTGCCACCATATAAGATTCCATGCATCAGACTAGATGTCAGTAGGTTGTAAAATCCAAGATACCTTATTATCTATAGCTCAAGACTAATTGTCAGATTGTGAAGAAGTCGACGTATAGAGAGGCAGTGGCGAGGTATACTTGCCGACTACCCAAAGTGATATCAGTTTTCTCACAATATAATACTTCTTTATCAAATAGAGCAATGGCATTAATATGATACGGCTGTATAGTATTTAGGGCTTGTAAGAAAAAGATTTGGCATAGCGTTAAATCAACACATAATTTCAGTTTGTACTGATGTTAAAGAGTTTGAACACACATTTGTGATGTAAATGAAAAGGACGCTGGAAACATACAATCGTGAACCAAGGCTTTTGTGGAAGACTTTGCGGAGGTAGTTGAGCCACGGGTTGATTGTATTCGGCTAAAAATAGCGTAGAAAGGTAGTATAAGGGTAAAATTTCATCTTTCGTACCTGAAGTAAATGTGTACTGAAGACAAATAAGGACTTTGGCTTTGGGAATCACGTAGGTAAATTATGGGGCACACGTTCACACACTGGAAATTTGGCCTATTGGTTTCACAATAAAATCCACTAACATTGAGGTTAGGTTTAAGAGCCTAAATTTTTCGACATTAATTTTTCTTATAATTAATTTTGAATGGGCTGTTTGCCACTTAATGAAATGCATGGGTGAATCATCTGCCTCAGATTACTAAACTCACGTCTAGGAATCACGTCTAGTTGCAGTGATGTCTCTGCACGGCCGTAGGCGTTTTCGGCGACACACACGATGAGTCCCGCGTCGAGGGGAGTTGATCCGAAAATCTCGAGTTCACCAGTCATTCTCACTGGCTCTGGTTGAATAGCGCCAACGTCTTCGAGGTAAGGGCCGAATTGAGAGACCTTGCAGTCGGAACCCGTCTCTAGTGGAATACCATTGCGGTACCAATGCAGGAAGGGCATTGGGTTACCTTTAGCCTCCACTGTGACGGTGAAGGGTGTTGCCTCGTCGACTACTCTGCGTTGTGGCAGGGGCTAAAACCAACAGCGACCAGTAACGACTATTCACTCGTGGCTTAAGACACGCGTATCAGGAAAACAAACCGTTATCGGGTCAGATTATTTCTTTCAAAAGTCAGCTTGATGCTTTTGTGCATAGTCATTTGGAATATTAATACAAATTAAATACTTCAAAGATAGTTGAGGGGGTTCGGCCCTGACGTCAATGAGAAACAAAGACAAGTATTTGCATATACTCAAAGTGCAGAAACGCCTACCCGCGTGAAGGTGGGCCCTTGGGGATTGGGTGCGACTATCGGTCCCGGAGTCGGCGATGCCAAGGGAACAGAAACCTCCGTTCTGGCTACTTCATCGGTCGTAGTTCTGGGACTCGGCACAGTCAATGGAGGCCGTGATTCTAGGTCAAAGGAAATCGGTCGTTCTTTAGACTGAGGCACTAACTTAATCTAATTTAATTGCCTTTAGAAGGGACTAGTTAGTTTCGTGCGATTGGCTTCCTTGTAGCTAATCATGCATCACTCATTCGTTTGTCATGCAGATGTATCTCAACTCAGTCTTTCACAAATTAGCATCTGTCACACCATTGAAGTGAAAACTTAATATCAGCGTGCAAAATTACCGTGACAAAATGGGACTCACCGAGAACAGTAACGATTCCTGACGTGATAGCTTCGCCGGCCTCATTCTTTGCGATCACAGAATAGCGGCCGGTGTCGGTCAGAAGAGCGCGTGGAATTGTCAAGGTCTGCACACCCTCTGTGAGTTCCTCGATGATGAAGTCGGGTGAACTGGTGACCTCACAGCCGTTAACGGTCCATTTAACATCCGGCTTTGGGTGGCCGTCTACTTTTACTGTCAGACGGATGGCACCTCCGCTCATGACCGTTGTGTTTTCGAGACCTTTGATAAATCGAGGTGCCATCGCTCTTGCAGTGATAGTCAGGTAGGCAAAACTTTCCGCCGTTCCGGCAATGTTGGTGGCTTCACAACGGTAAGGTCCAACGTCCTCTTCCCGAAACTGGAGCGTAAAAATGGTTTGGATGAATTTAATGACGAGGCCGTGGTAGTGAATTGACACATCTAGCTGTAACTACGACTAGTATTGAATGATCGTCTTAATAAATTTTCGTAATCCATTCACATGATTTTACAATACTGTAAAGAATAACGTCAAGTTATTAGATGCAAACAATACATTCCCAAGGATCAAATAGCAAACTAAAATTAATTCACATTATGCAAAAAATCCTCAAAACATTGAATTCGTTTCCGATGGTATTCAAGGTCTTCCACCTGGAGGACCTGTTCATGGACATTAGTGGTTGTTATTAGTTACCTCTTTGAGGGTAAGTCGAACAGTCCCATCCGGACGGTATTCCAGACGGAAGTCGGGAGATTCATTCAATGGCGTGGATTTGCGGAACCATGAGATGGCAGGTGTAGGTTTACCGTTTACGACGCCTTCAAGAACTACTTGAGAACCCTCCTCGGCAACGACATTGGTGAGATGCTGAGTAAACTTCGGAGGAGTTGGTACCTGAACGACTATGTCGACAGGAACATACTATAAAGAAAAAAATGGCCTTTGAGTTAAAGCTCAATAGGTCTAAAAATTAGTAACTTTGGCCATTTAGCCAACCTGGACACTAATGTCGGTCGAATAGCAGGACTGGAACCGTTCTTCCGGTTTTTGAACTAGTGGAACGACGTCCATAGGGTGGTCAACATTCACTGTGGTTTCAAATCCCGGAACCAGGTTTGGTTTCGCCGACATGGATCTATCCATCTGTGTCAAATAGCGCATCTAAAAATCAAACTTATAAGCAGGCATAGTTCATTTTGGTAAACAAGAAAAAAGGAATTTACCTCCGTAATTTCCTTTTCAATCTGCATTTGGCGTTCAAGGCTTAGTTTTGCTTCAAAACCAGTCTCAAGAGGAGGTCGTGCGGGCATGGTGCGTTCCGTCTCAGTCTTGTAACTCGGTACCATTGGAACGACATCGAGTTTGTGTTCATATTCTCCTTCACTTGTGTAACCTGGTTCCAGTGCCGGCTGACTAGCCACAGAGGTCTCCCGTTGAGTTCGATATATCGGTATTATCGGAGTTACCTGGATATTTTTGTGATGAACCACTTCTGTCACAGTTCCGGGCTCGAGATCCGGATGGGCTCGAATTGGCGCCTCAACGAAGACTTTGAACCTGTCCTGTGATGGTGTTCGGCTGATAGGAAGCCTACGCTGAGGACCTTCTACTTGGCGATGGGTTTCGTAAACAGGAACCATCGGAACAACTTCTATGGGACGCATTAGGTCCTCAACAGAAACGTAGCCCGGCATAAGACGTGGATGACCTGCAATACGGTGTTGGACGGATGTCTCCTGAAGTGGAACGACTGGACAAACTTGCATATTGTTCAACACCGTAAGGCTACTTGCATGTCGTATTTGTGAGGCAGGAGAAGCTACGGAATCAATTGTTCTTGAAATCTGAAAGATTAAAGTTTGAGTAAAATAGATTTACACAAAGTATAATCAAACAACTTTCAATGGAAACAAAGTTTGAGAAGTAAACTGTGCAGAATTACAAAGAAGCAGATTCCTTGTGGCTCAAATCTCCAGCTGACAGTTCAAAGTGATTATGATTAAGTTAATAAATTGGGGGGGTAAAAGTGAAATGTAAGAAGCAGAAGAGGTCAAGGCAGCACAACCTACTTCTGTTTTGCTCATAGTTCTTTCTTTTGGCAATCTGAAGGTGAACTGCACAGGGGGCGTTGCATGCCGCTCATGAACACGTAGATGTGTCGTTGAGGTGTAACTGCGTAACTGTGGTGGTTCAGATATCTCGCGCGAGAAACGTCGCGTCGTCTTGGGGTAGGTTGGCAGAACGTGGATTGATGCAGTGGGACTGACCTGTCGCCATGGTGAAATCTGACTGGGGCGGGTGAAGCTCTGTCGTGGCAGTGTTGCGTAGACAGTCGGCGAGCTTGTGGATATGGAGGAGAGCGAACGTTGACGTGGAACGTAGACCGTGGCAGAGCACGTGGCACGACCATGCCTGTTTTCTGCTAAGACTTCGTAGTGACCTAAAAGGAAGATACGAAGGACACACATCAAACTAGATAGTCTTGTATGTGAAATTTAGATGGGTGTATGGACTCGAGAAATTGGACCAAATGAAGAAAATCCTATGTTAAGTACATGACGGTGGTTGCTTAAGTTATCAAATGAACAACTCACCAGCAGTACCTTGGTCCGGTTGAATAATGGTTAGAGTGTGCACCCCTGGGGGCCGGTCAGAGGTGATGTGGTAGCGCCGATCCTCAGGCACGATTGTCTGGTTCGCGAATCGCCATTCAACAGTCGGTCTGGGGATTCCCAGTACATAACAATCAAGGCGAGAGAGCCGAGGTGCACGAGGCTCAACGTATAAGTCTCTGCAGGACAAAACAAAGCGTCTATACATAAAGGCCTCGATGAAAAAAGCATTTAAGTGACTAATCCTCTATGACAGTGAGTTGACTTTTGAAAAGCTTGGTCTTTCTCGCTCTTTCAGATACTGGAACTGTTTGTCAAACACGAGGCTCAATCAGTAGTGTGCCTTCTCTGTCTGGATTTTTCTTCGATTTTTCTCCGAGAACATGAGCATCAAATGTCTTATTTCCTTGCCTGTGGCTGCCTTCTGCGTCCTGCATGAGACACGCATGACGATATTTATCGTGCCTCGTCTATCTTGCGTTTCCTATGCTGTGAATTACTCTTACATTTGACATCACTTTCCACCTATAAGCTTCTCACCATCGTATGGGTCTTGCGAATAGTCTGTCCGTAGACTACCCTATTTTTCGATAAGTGACGGGTCTAGCATCTAACTTGCACTTGCTCTCCTGCTATCATTCAGCTCCCTGTTTCAGTTCAAACTTCACTATCTTCCACTTTTAATACTATAGGTACATCGCAGTATTAATAGCATGCGCAACCTCTGATTCACAAACAGACGTCAGATTGCGGGTTTGATCGAGTATTTACGACTTTGGTCGCAGCCCTGGTTGACTAAGGACCTACCTGTAATTTCGGCTTTAAGATCAACCTATGGTTCTTATTTTAAATTACACAATTTATTACTCGATGTCAGCACGACGGTTCGTGGCCCTTTTAGACCGAATATGTCAACCTTAGGATCCGATTCATGGCAAAATCCGTCCTAGTTCATGCTTCCACTCGAACATGTAAATAGCAGCTAAGAAGTAAATAAATAATTTGGCTACCATCTTGAAAAAAAATTTGGTTTTACGTAGTTTAATTTAGTTGCACGCATTATATTCAGCTTAGTCGGGATGAAGTAGTATATCTATTCGAGAGACTTGAATTAAGTGAAACATTTTTCTCACCTTAGGGGTCGGATGAATCGTGGAGGTCCTTCTTGGAAGGGTGAGGTATCCAGGGAGCGGGGTGACCTGTCACTGGGGAGTATGTTTAATTTAATCTCAGAGTAACAAGTTCCGACTCGGTTTGAAGCTACAGCCTTGTAGACCCCCGCGTCTTGAACGCTTGATTCCGGCATGTGTAATACAGCCGTTGATCCAATTTGGGAAATCTGTTGAAAAACGAAATGGTGATTAGATCCACTAGTTTCACACTAAAACCAGAATGTCGTCTGATTTGGGACGATGTAATACGTCTCGGCTTAAGATAAAATTGCATTAAAAAGACCTTATCGTCCGTTTCCGATAGTGAGTTGACTTGACTCGAAGCCGTTCGCCCCCAGTTTTATATATGCAGCCACACACCTCAGATCGTGTAACAGAGACGAACCTCAAAAAGGCTAATTGGTAATAAATTCGGTGCCACGGTGACACATGAACCTGAGGAACGAAAGAGCATTAGTTTGTGGCAGAGACTGAAACCCTGAATGGAGGGGGTTGGTCTTGACATCATTTTTTGCTTTTACCACTGAAATACCTCTCTGGTGAAACATGGTCAGTGTGCTCGCTTACTTCAACGGATGGAGATGGCTCAAGTGGCGCCGAATCCTTGTACCACGTGATCGATGGTTCCGGGCGGCCAACAAAGCTGCACTCGAGGGTCACTCCTTCCCCTTCGTTGGTGGTCAAGTAGCGTGGAAGAGACTTGACAACCTGAGGCGCCTTGTCTACTGATTCGTCGCCGCTTGATAACGCTATATTCAGAGGAAACATTACTTTTATCAACTTCCCTAAGGGGAACTCGTGATTCGTGGGAGAATGCATTTAAGCGCCTTTCGGAGCTTTACTTGCTGACAAGGCGTACTCCTAAGCAAGGCGCGCTTGTCAGCTCTAAAACAAAAGTATTTAACTTTCTCTGACCGAAGCGAGATCGCTGAAAACCAGCGTACAAGATTGTTATTGTGTTGGGGACAAAACGAAAAACTATGTCACTAGATTTCTTAGGGTGATTTTCAAACCCCACAGCAAACACGATTACTCATCTCAGACAAATGTCACTGCATATTTTAACTGTATTACCGCAACGCGCCCTTCCTTAAACTTAAGGCAACTCATCTTGACATGTGCCACATTACTTCCCATTTTGGTCACATTTGTTAAACTTACGTTCAACGTCCATCCTGCAGGAAGTTTTTGCAACTCCAACAGGGTTTGTTGCGACACAAACGTACTCTCCGTGGTCAGCCAAATAGATATCGTTAAATTCAATCCAGTGCCTGTCTCCTTCCGATTGAACTGTGAAATTGGGGGCGGGCACAAGAGGAATGCCATCTTTGTACCAATTGATTTGGGGCCTTGGGCGACCCAGAACTCGGCATTGAAGACGAACAACTTGACCTTCGGTTGCAGCAGCATTGTGAAGTGGCTGAGTAAACTGTGGAGGCAGTTGGCCGGGAGAGAAGGTACGCTTAGGTCCAAACAAGTCTCTACGGTGTCTGAAAGGAATGGAATACATGACAATCTACGGCAGTTTTCCTGCATTTCTCATAGGGTGTAATGCATCACACAGATTCAAGTCCATTCGCCGTCACGCTGACTTCACTTTCAACATCGGTCTAGTCAAGCACCCAAAACCGTCTGCTCATACACCCCTGTGCGCGTACCTTCCGCAGACTACCCGTTTCATTTATCAGGCCATTCAGATATTTGTACTTTTACAAGTTCACGCAGACGGTATTGATCAACCAACCCATTGACTCAGGTACGATTTTTTATGAGCGACGGTCACAACCTAGTTGAGACATTGAATAAACGGTTTTCTCTCCTGTCTCTTCTCTTCCTTGGGTATTTCATTTTAGGTGTGCTGTTTTGATAAACTTGGGGTGTTAGTTATGGCTCCTTCCCTGTTATCTGTTTTTAAGGAATTGCCTGTTGTCAAATTTCGACAGACCCCTGGAGAACGGTTTCGACTTGGCAGTCCAAATATCATTAAAATGACAAATAGTTTCTACCGAAAATACGGCTTTCACTCATGGGGGCATTTCAATCCTCGTGGCGAAAGAGGTAGTCGCTCATTTCCATCCATAGTGTGCAGCCTCGGGCTGGAGGCTTCTAAATCAGCATTTCAAGATGGCACGAAAATTAACATCAACATGGTTTAATGTTGAACAAAAAATTATCTAGTAATGTGTATAGTAAATACCGATGACTCACGTCCACGCCAGTCGTTCAAACACCCCGCCCTCCCCACTCCGTCCCAGCGGCCTCAGAGCTTATGCGTCCCTGTGCGCCCACCGCCCCCTGCCACACATGTCCTGCATCTTGCTACCCAGGCACTTGTGCATTCATGTGCTCGTCCGACATCTGTCGGTCAATAATACTTATTTGTCAAGTCGCACCTGGGCACTTTTGAGACTGTGAGCACAACTACGCGAATCAGGACAGAACTGTGTCTGCTTCTGGTTTTCTGATTCGGTTAAATTAGAACAATACAATCCTACGGCTCCACTGTCGTTGAAGGCAAATGACAGGGACTTAACAGTGTTCTGGGGGTTTGCTTAAAACGCATAAACGACCGTACGTTCTTTGTATCACTATCACTATTTTGCAAGAGCTATCAAATTTCTCAGATTTGGCAATTTCCGGATCTTGAGCCCCCGCTAAATGCTCGAATATTGGTGCAGATAAACTTACTCTGTCCTAAAGATGTTTGACGTCTGAGGAGGAAGGGAAGTAGCTCTCCATGGTGGTCTGACCTCCACACTAACCGGAGAGAGCCCGGAGTGAGGAGAAATTTTTCCCCGATCCAGCGATTCGGGTCGAACTGGTGTGACGTCCCTTCTTTGCAAACCGACGATTGGTGACCTCCACCCGTCTTGCAGGGTGGATTGTGATGGTTGACGACGTGTCGGCATTACAGACTCGGTGTCCATTAAACCGTCAAGTTCCAGTTGTCTGTCCTCGCGCGGCGGCCTCAGATCAACACGGCAGGAATTTCGTGCTTCACCCGCGCGGTTAGTCAGAACGCAGGTGTACTCTGCAACATCACGCGGACTTACTGTAGGCATCCTCAATGTCGCTCTGTCGCCGAGAAGACTTGGAATGGCAGAACTTGGAGTCGATTCCAGTGGCACCCCGTTAATAAACCAATCGGCACGTACCGGCGGCGTACCCTTAAAACAGATTTTCGAAGTTAAAATCCTGCATTTGTATTTTGGATAAATTTCAACGGAAGGAATTGTACCTTGAAAGTTAGCCTGAGCTCGAGGGCCTGACCTGCGTGTACGAACTTGTCCACGAGGGGACTGACGATGCGAGGAGGCTCAACTGGAATTACATGAAGCTGACAGGTAGAGACGGCTTCACCACGTGGGTTCCGTGCCCTGCATGTGTAGTTTCCATCATGGATTGAGATATTTGCCTTGCGGATCTTGATTGCACAGGATCCGTTAACTTCAAGGACTACATATTCGGGGCTGTTGTCAATGCTGATACCGTCTTTGAACCACTCTATCGTTGGAATGGGGGTACCAGTTACTTGGCACTCCAACATAACGGCCTCGTTCTCTCTGACTTCGCTTGATCTAAGTGGTCTAGAAAAAAGAGTGTTGTTTTAATTGCTGATGAGCCCGACAATTCAGAAATGACCACTCGGTGAAAATTAAACGTGAATGTGAATCAAAGGGCGAAAGAGAGGCTGGTCCAGTTGGGAGTTATATCAGTATGGCCAGGAATTATACCTCGTAAACCTCGGAGGCTCTCCGCTTTCTTCGTCACACACAGGGAATGGAATCGCTTGTTGTGATCGTCGACGTTTTGTTGGAGTGATCACATCCTCCTCGATTGAACCTATCGATTTGTGCGTTTCCGAAACTACCAGGGAGCCAGAGGTCTCCGCCTCTCCAAATGGCGTTTTCAGGCGGAATGTGAATACAGCCGAGTCGTCTCCGAACGTTTCTTCGATTTCCAGACTCGCTGAGTGATGGTCCATCTTTGTGCGGTAATCGGGAGAGGTCACTGGGATACCGTCCTTGTACCAAGTACCCTCAATGTCGACTGCCATGGAGTAACCTTTTGAAGGAAATGCCCTATGGTTAGCCACAGACGTATTGCTTACGAGCTTATTATTAACTTCCCCCTACATTGTCTTGTATTTATAACTTTGTCATCACTAAAACTTCGCGAAATGTACATAAGCTTAAAATAGTTAAGTTGGGAATAATTAATTTTGTCCACATCCAATTTGTCAGCACTCAGTCCAGTTTTCTCTCGGATTTATCGCAAGCACATATGTACCTTGCGGAATGCCTGCGTCGAATGTGGTGTCAAGAATCACCCTCGTGCCCTCTGCAACATGCATGTTGGGCAGTGGTTTGAGGATTTTGGGGGGTCCAGGTTGGGGAGTGACCATCTGGTGGCTTCTGATCGTTTCCACTGCTTGAACCAGAGGCCCTTGAAGACGGACAAGGTCGACAAACTGTTCGGATCGTACACGGACATTCTGCGCTAGCTCAGACATGGCCTGGGCGGAATCACGGAAACGAGCAACGATTGGCTGGACCTTCTTTCGCGCATCATCACCTAAGAAATGTAACGCGATTTAAATTACACTGGATTGATTCCATTAACTAACCAATTTTTGAACACTAGCATTTGCTTATCCGATACAGTGCATGAAATTTTACAATCGACCTTGTTAAAATCATTATAAAAAGGAAGACGGAATTGCTCAAATGCTGCGGATATTTATGTGAGGCTAAAGCTTGGCCAGCATCAGTATGCTAAAGCCCTTTGTAAAACGTAACTGACGTGGGTGGGACCATGTCGAACTTGTATTTGGAGTTTTAATCCTAAATTTTCGAAATTCGATCGACCTAAATTATTCAATGTTGACTGCTGTAAGTCGGCTTCCCTAATATTTGAAAGGTGTCACGCCTTACAGGGCTGTGCAGCCCTATTTTCCTTGGTATGGAGCCTATGGTAGCGTCACACACAACACACCTGGAAATTGCTCAGCAAGTGCCTGAAGTTGGGGCACATGCTGTTGAGCATATTGCTCCACGTTGTCTAGTTGAGTCTCTAAATCAGAGACGAGTTGTCGCATCTGCATTTGGTCGTCAGGTGCAAGGTGTCTCAACTGGTCACTGCTGCGACTTAATTCCATTGTCAGACTCGTGAGTTGATTTTCGGCGTCACGCACAGCACGCAGCAACTGAAGCGTCAGATTAATCTCCGAGCGACATTTAGCAGCCTCCGCTGCCAAATTGGACACACGCGAGTCCAGCTGCTCGTGCTTTTCTTCCAAGGTCGTCACGTCGGGAGAGCTAATTTCAAGAAGATCGGATGGTGCTCTAACTGGCTTCATGCCAGGAAGAAATGCGGTGCTTCGCACACGGCCTTGCAGTTCCTATGATAAAAATATTATTACTTAGATTAAAAAGTAAGGCAAACCGAACCTGAAATGCATTAAACTCACCGGAATTCGAAGTTCAAGATTGTGAAGACTTTCATAAGCATGCTCAACCTGTGGAAGTGGGGTTTCAAGATTCACTGTGAAGATGATGCGCCGAAGCTCTGTTTCGGCCTCTTGAAGGTCGCGTTCGAGTGTCTTAAAAAGGAAAGGAGAAGGGTTATTATCTAAGCCAAATTATGACATCCCAAACGTGTGTCCACACTGACATCAAGTTCTGTCGTCCTGCTTATTTGTTCTTCTAACGCATGTTTACGCGCACAGTAGATGTTTTCCCAATCACTTGATCGCTGTTCGAGGCCGACGGTAGCAACACAGAGCTCGGATCGTACAGACTTTGCCAATTCGATTTCTCCAGGACCCGGTGTCGCGTAGGGGACTTCGGTGTACCGGCGTACGCGTGAAGGTGCGTCTGCGCCAGCAGGTTCAGCGCCAACAAGAGAGGCGAGGGTGTTGGCCTTGGCGTTTACTTCGGCGATCAGCTGTGTGATGTGTTCGCCGTCACGCGTGTGCTCGGCCAGAGCCGCTTCCGCGGCCGGTCCACTTCGTGGAAGCGGTGTGCGCGCCATGCGAGCCCTCGAGTTGGCTATGGCCTCGTCAAGCTACAAAACCAATTGCCTAACCTTAGTCTGGCTACCATGACAACAGACACCATAAAAGTGCTACCGTTGTAACTCAACCAGACAGCGCAAGAAGTAAATCAAGAAAATGGAAGCAAATTCGGGGGGACTGGGTTTGGTAGCAGCTTAATAGCTGTCTTTATAGGTGACGCGTGTGATTTCCAGCATAATCTTTCCTGTTAGGGCTTGCTACTTTGTAATATTTACACAACCGTACAAACCAAAATTCCCTACACGTGAATCATAGTAAAATGTTACAAGTTCGAAACACAGTCGTGTGGGAATCTGCGGCGTTAGCTGTAAGGCCCAACGAAAGTAATAGATGGGAGGATGCTTCAATGATAGCAAGTTTTACTTGAGGCATTCATAACCCGCATAATGAGGTTCATGCTACCACCTAGTACTTTACCAGAGTATTACTCCTCTCTACTAAAAATCTCACGAAGGAGATATTTGACATTCCAACGGTGTGAAATGAGGCTCTCAGTAAATGCTCTCAAGTATAACGATAATTCTTGCCTCATACTATCCCATCTATACATTCCGATTTAGTTCTGGCTTAAGCATCGGCATTTTACCCACATGCATGACTGTTCATGCCAGTCTGGTGACTACCGCTTCTCCAAACTGAGTGGTATCCTTGGTAAAACATTTCCAGTTGATGGTTGGCAAGATAGCAGTCGGCAATCGAAGTGACATTTAACACTGATTTGGTTGCGGGAGAAAACGGGGAGCACAACTTGATTTGAATACCTGAATTCAGTTTACTTAATTGGCCGCTTCAACAGCTTCATTCAAACTGTAGAACCTTAGGGTAAATCAGATTTGTTTACAAAGCCACTTTTATTCTTTTTTAACAAATTTTGGATATTAAATGCATGCTTAGAACCCGAACTGTACCTTTCTGGCTGAGTTTGTGAAATCGTTCCATTTGTCGCTCCAGGATAGCCATATTTGCCTGGTCGATTGAACGTTGTTTAGTTGTTCCTGTAGGTGACTGAGCCGTTCAATATTCAGTTGGATCTGACTGCGGTAGAAGTTCTGCGTTTCCTTATTGATGATTGCCTTGTCTCCTTCTCGTGAAAGCTATACAATAAGAACATATTTTTAATGCTTTTGAATAATTACAAGTGTTACAGTTGGGTTTAAGTTTATCAAGTACAGTTTTTATCAAAGCCTACACAGAATCGAAAATTTACATTGAAGTAATTTCGCTTTGATACTACGATATTAGCTTAATATCCTACGCCCTGAACTCGTTCTGATTTTAAATAGATCGCTGGTCGTACTCCTTTAAAAGGAATTCAGCGCAAATCTAATGCTTTGAGTGAAGGTGACGCAGTTACAAAATCTTGCTACTCAAGTGTTTTCACTAAACGTTAGTATTTTGTATCTTACACAAAACCGCAAGACGAGGAAGTACGAAACACACAATTTTTTTTCAGTCGAAGTAGGGTGACAATTTTAATTCACGAACTGGGCTCTACTTCACAGATGGGATGTGACCCACTCCTTAGCACCTCTTGATTACTTTATGTGCTGTCATACTATGCTGTTTTCAGGCAAGCCTAATCGACGAAGTGGCGCAGACAGCGCTTCCCGTTGATTATGAAATCAGAAATGACGCCTTTTGAAAGGAACTTAATACCTCTTCTTGTAAAGGCTACTGCTTTCCCACAATTTTGGAAACAGTACCCGCCAGGCTCTGTTGACTTTTGAAAGAATCTAGTAAATCTAGTTAAGGCACTTTTCCCCATTCGCACACCCAAACGTATGTAATAATTTCTGCAGTAGACGTTGGCATGCGCGTACGCACGTGCACATACATGCGAAGGTTATCGATCGCGTGGGTGTAGCCGAGGCAGGACGCCTGAACGACGCTCGGTCGTTAAATAAAGGTCAGTCATCCCCACCCTGGCCATTGGCTCATGTAAGAATTGTGCATGTGCGCGCACGCAAACACAGTTACTAATTTCAGCAAATGCAAAATTTGCCCTGCGAACGTCCAATGTGAACGTGGGGTAGTCTATCCGAGGAACGTGAAGCGGAAAACCGTTGTCATGTTTAATTTTAATTACTTTTATCCCTCTGCCGCCCAATTTTGCCGCATTAACCACTAAACCAAGGCAGAGTCAGTTAGCAGCATTGTACCTACTTATGAGTATTGAAGGATTTGGGATGCTTCAGTTTGGCAGCATTACCAAACCTCCACTCAAATATTTTAATAAGAAAGACTAATGCAATTTTGAAACATTAATTTCTAATTGATTTGTTCATTAATTGTCAGTTTTGAGGGTGATTTCTGGATGGAAGAGACGGAGTGTCACAAAAGTTTGTGTTGTAGAACGTTTGCTGAGCTTTTCAATGTCATGCGTTGGTAGGGGCGAGTGTTTACTAATCAGACGACAAATTTAATCCGACAGCCTCTCAAAGCAGGAATGGATGAATGAAATTCTTGCCATTGGACAAACGGCCCTTTGGTGAAAGCGGTGGAGCGTGAACTACACAGTTTAGCACTTCTTTCTCTCAACTTTGGCTTTGTAAATCAACTGCATTATGTGTTGTCCTGGTAAATGGTCCACATAAAAGGCAATGCAGGAGCGGTTACTTCAGTGTCGTGACCATCATGGATAAGCCACAGACTATTCAGTGTGCAGTTTTGTTTGTTTGCACTGCCTTGATTCCTTTTTCGCCATGTCTGAAACAGGGCTTTGTAAAGCGGTTACGAATCTTGTCAAATTTACCTAAATCGACTATTCAGGGCGAGTTAACCGTAGCATAATTTGAAACTGGTAGTGGTAATAAAAGAAAAGTAAAACAAATCAATTACTTCCTCCAATGCCTGTTTCAATGCCTCCTGTTGCGACTCCAATCGCGATTGAACGTCCATCAGGTCTGCCTGAATGCGGGCTATTTCGCCTTCCTTCAATGGCTGGCTTTCGTGCAAGTTTACGTGACCTTGCAGTAGTGGAATTCCGGTTGCCATTGACTTGAGCCGGTCGTTCACGGCTAGATAGTAGCATTCGTCTTCTCGAATGCGCTTAAGCAATCGACTGAGTTCATTTGCTGTCCGCAAGCGAATAGTGATGGTTCGACGATAGCGTGTCCAGATCTCCGTGATTTCATCAAGACGTTGCTGAAAGCATTAAGTGATTCCCCATTTAATAGCCATGCGACTCTAAATTGCGTCACAATAGCCACCTTGCTGCTGCTGTCATAGTGCAACTGATGCCAATGGTACGTGCTGACAACATACGTGTTCACTTCAGTAAACACTTTGCTTTAGAAAATCTTCATCTGAGTCGATTTTCACGATCTAAATAGGGTCTGCTCAAGGGAGGAACTCTTTCGTGTTACGCGCTTAACTAAGACATCAGCTTAGTTGTCGACCCCCAATTATGAACAACTCCATATAAAACACTCTGTTGTCGTCGGTTATAAAAAAAAAAACTTTCAAAAACGGATTTTTTAGGATCGGACTTTGCCAATTTGGCACTGCTGGGCACAAATGCATGGTCAAATAGAACTTGGGTGGTTATTTCTCAGTAGTCATCAGCAGCCACGTTTGTGAGATGGGCGATTTCAACTACGCGAGCGCTATTATGCCACATGAATCTCCACGTGGGTTCATCACTTGGTTGAGTTAGAAGCATGCAATCATTAATAATCTCTACCTACTTGATGTTCTATGAACAACCAAAGCAAGCTTAAGATTCATGGGACTCCATACCTGGAAACTTTGCTTTTCTGCAGATGCAGGAAGTGATGAGATTAAGGTTTGAAGGTTAGAAAGTTGATGATCGTGGGAGGTCATCTGTCTGTCTAGGCGTCTGTGGAGGTCCTCGAAATCGGAAACAGACGAAATAGTTGTTCCTGGCGACTGATTAGTTTCCAGGACCCTGTGGATAGTCTCCTCCGTCCATCGCCACAGCTGCGTGAAAGATAATAAATTATGTAAAGCGAACTGTATGGGCTAATAGTGTCGAGCAATATAACCCAACAAATCTCCTACAAAGTGGGTAATAGGGATATCTTACCGCGGTTAGGTTATTGTCGATTTCCCTTAATTGCCGATCTTTTGCGTCTCTTTCAACAAGTCCACTGCACGCCATGCGGCATCGTTTAATGGTTTCGTCTATTTCATTCAAATTCGCTGACATTGCGGCGTCCGCAGAAGAAGTTAGAGGAGAGACGGGTCGTCCCAGTGGGACAGTGGGGGTCAGATTCAGAGACGCAGCTGAAGGTCTTTCATCTACGCGTGATCGCAGGTCGATGAGGATTTCCCGAAGTCCCGGCACTCGCATTTCCAGCTCTGTAAGTCGTTGGAAGAGGTCGACACGAATCTCCTGTCTTGATTTCGCCGCGTCGATTTCCCTTTCTAAGATCCCAAGATTTTCCAGAAGCTGCAAATTTAACAAAAAGTGTAAGATGGGAGAATTTTGTAGTTTTTTTATCTAATAAAAAAACTCACCACTTTAGCCTCGCTGAAGAAGATTATACTAGCTTGAAGACATCGCCTTCTTGATTCTATGCGATCCATGAACTCCCAAATATACTTCTCTGAAGTGGCAAATCGATTCACGAGGTCCCTGTGCGCACTCTGCATTAGCATGTCAGATTCAGCATCGCTTTCACCGCGTGGGAGGCTTAGTTGTTGAGCTTGACGGACCAAACGCGAATTGACATGCTGATATTCACGAGCGTCTGCTGCCAGACTTACGAGGGCCTCCATGGCAGCTTTACATTCTTGAAGACTACTGCCTGACAAGGCGGCAGCCAACTGCGGCTCCCCGACCTAAAAGAACAAAGACATTAGTGCATGATCTGACGCGACATTGTGTGACCTGCGAAGAATCATAGAAAGGACACAGCAGTTGGCTGATAAGTCTGCCGGGATAATCGAACAGAATGTGCATGTTCCATGGAAATCAGTTTTAAACAAATTTTTAGCATGGATTTGGATCTTTTATCAAAATCTTCCCAAGGATGGATTTTATTTTTGTCCATGTGACTATTACAAAAGTATCCATTTCTTTGTTCGGATGAAAGTCAGTTTTCGATTGTGATGACTCAATCTGCAACTAATTCAACGGATTTTGGTGCTAAGACATGGCACTGTTATCAAACAGATTGTTTTCTTTTAAAGACTGACTTAGGTTTGATCAGTTGCAAAGTAACCTGAAGGAAAATTATAAAAACTAACTGGTGCCAATTAGGTAACATTCAAGTATTCGCTACTGAGGTTAAATGTACCAGGTAACTACTTGCTTGGTGGTGTCAGTAGGCCCAGTGTCAAATCGTAGGGGCTAGCTGTCATCATGAATTTGGATACAAGGAAATCGGAAGCAAATTGGTAGAAGCAGAACCCAGATGGGGTCTTACCTTGGCAAACCAGTCGACGACCTGTTCGTGTTCGGTTTCGAGTCTGACAACAGTGAGGCGAAGTTGTAGGAGGCGGGCGCGTCGCTCCCATGCTGTCTCGGCTAGACGACGGGCCTCATTGGCGTCACCGGTGACAGCGGCGATGCGCTCGCGAGTTTCAGCACTCGTGCGGCTCAAACCGGACTCAGGCGTCTGTCCGGTGCGAGCAGCCATTCGAGTGAGAAGATCGATGGCTCCATTAGCCGCCTCCAGCATTCCCTGGGAGGGTTGAAGGAGCTCCATTTGTTTCAGGGCCTCGTGTTCCTAAACGTTTCGTGCATTTTAACAACCAGAAACGATGTAGTGAATCGTGTTGATTTCCATCTATCAGCTCAGGCGTCGCACACTCCGCGCCCCTCCGTCATGAGGGGCCGTCTGCTCATTCACTCCTGTGCTTTTACCACCCTCACTGCCCATTTCTTTCATTTGGCCATTCAGTCATTTGTACGTTAACTTCTTCACCAAATTGTATTGGTCAAAAATCTAATTCGTCACGCACGACTTTGAGCGCCTACAGGCACAGGATAATACAACTAGGTTGAGTCATCTGGTGAACGTTTGTCTCAGCCACCTCCGGGTTTAGTTGTTCCAGCCCAGGTGTGATTCGAGGCCACATACTGAGGCCTTCATCATCTATAGCATTTCAAATAACTTTAGCTTAGGTGCCAATTACAGATGCTGATAATGCCGGTTTAAGTTATTCCATTGAGAGCACCGTTATGGGACATGCGATGATTTGGGCGATAGACCAGTCAAGACCCTATTGCAGCCTTAAATCGGGCGGAATCGCAATCAAAACAACGTACTCGAGCTTTACGTTACAGCTTATTACTGCTCTTATTTTATCCACTCACAAACAAATGCACATTTGGTCACAGCAGCTAATACTTCTCAACTAACTGCCACATAAATACTGCGATGTGAAATTATCACGACTTCGGAGAAACATTTAAATGTGAGATGAAAAAATCGTACTCCTCAATCCCAATGTGATTACCTCGATGAGACGTTTCACTGACTCGACTGAATCGCCCCACTCGCCGGAGGTCGAGGCTTCAATAATTCTTGCCACGGCTGCGTGGACATTTTCAGCGTTCTCGAAGCACTCCACGACGAGGTGCAGCAGATGCCCCCGGTTACCAAGAACATCTAGCAGCTCACGCCAGGCTTTGTTCAATGAGGCAGACATGGCTGAGTAGACACGCGCCTGGCCTTCTGTCGGTTGCTGAGATACCATTTCCTCGGCTCGCGTAAGCAACTCCGATATATGCTCCTGCTTGGCGGCCAACTTGGATACCAGGGTGGCGTGCTGCTCCAGTAGGCCACGCACCTCCACCGAGGTGCAGCTCGAACCGATGTCATAGAGGTCTGGTTCCATGCATTGAATTCGTACTTTGATCCAAGCCCCACACTAGTAGAGTGGGTAAACCGTAGTCATGTGGGCGTGTTAGTGAAGCTTGGCATATATGTATATAATGTGGCCGTGCTTATTCATAATTTATTGAGTTAAATCAATGTGTCTTTGCTTAATTTTATCCTGAGTTCCAAGCCCCCAGAAGGTACTGTGAAGAATTCATCCCCTTCATGAACTTTGACCACAGAAATCACATACTCGTAAGCCCTTGTCTCAATCCTCAAAGCTAGAGCGACGGTGTGGTAACTCAGCACTAGCAAAACTCTGACAGAAGTGTAGCAACACAAAGCAACATGTCCTCCATGCCTCTTGAAACACCATTAAATGCAATTCGCGTAAAAATCAGCTTACTGACTCTAATTTGGTTCAGTATGTAGGTTATTGATTAAAAAATGAGAAAACCCCTTGGTGCTTGATATGGTAATAGGCTCATCGAGGCAATTAACTCGTGGTCGAATAAATGCCGCATTTCAGGTTTTTAATAATTGGACACTGGGGAATCGCTTACTCTCAGAACTGCCAAGATAATCTTAGATTGTCCGGCTTGGACTGCGATGGTGCTGATTGTGGTAGTGGAGGGGAAGTTGTCTGAGAATTCAGATGAAGACTGCGTTGAACTATCTTCTCTATCCGACATTTGAGGGGAAGAAAGGAGGCAAAAGCAGGGTAAGAAAGGCGAATGCTAAAGCGGGAGAGGGTGAGTAAGCTAAGAAGGTAGCTGGCGGTCTTTTCCACTAGCAAAAGAAAAGATGCCGCCTTTAGAAGCTCAACCTTCTTGGCCGAAGGGGATCAGGGTAGGCGTTGGCTTAAATTTGGCTTGACGCTACGCGTTCTTCTGAGTGAGGCCCCCCTGATAGGGCTGGTTTGGGGGGCACTTGGCCGCTGGCCTCCTTTGTGTGTGTCGAATTGAGATCCCTCTCTTGTGATAGAGCGGTGACCTCCCTGAATGCGACGTCTCGAAGCAAAGTGCGCTTACGCCAGTGATCTAAGGATCGCTGTGGGCTAGTGCCGTGGCTTATAAGGAGGGCCTGTCACAGACTGGCCAATCATTCGAAAGACTTTTCCGTGTACACAAACACGATTGGTTGCCTGCATGTGTGTGCGATTTTGCTGCTGTGTTTGGGTGCTTCGAACGTCTGCGCGACGGCATAATTTGTTCCCAAGTGGCAGCTGCTGTGCCCAGAACCTGTGATGGCTTTTTTATTGACTTAGGTTTGCCTATCTAAGTTTAAAACTCGGGTTAAATTTACCTGCCAAAGCCCAAGTATTTTAACCTTTAAAAAGTTAAATCATTGAATAGTGCAAAGGTTGATACCAGGATAGCCGTATTAATTTTTCGGCAATCTTCAAGCTCGAAATGCCTCAATAGGGCGGTTAAGGCACGATTTAAAGGATTAAGTCAAATGATTGGGTGTTCTTTACACTGTTCGACAATTGTGACAAAACGCTTGAGAGGCCATCATCAGCGGAGACATCCCATCTGGGTTTCGCTTATCAAAACGACTAGATATTCTCCAAAAAAACTGATAAATTTTGAATTGTTACCTATCTGATTCCATGCGTTTGTTACGTAGTTCGAGGTTAAATTAATGTGGAATTTAATCGTAGCCATCCTAACATCTTTAGTGCGAAGATAAGGAAAGTAAATATTAGACATTTTGTTTGAGACAGTTTCTTTGATAATCCTTGCTATTGCTTTATTAATGAATTATCCAATTAAAACTCCTCTAACTGATGGGAATAAAACGGAATCTAACTCCGAATTTAATTGGCAGAACAATCTTATGTTTTTACACGAACACCACATACTACTATCAGTTTGGAACTAAATTTACCATTCTGTTGTCCAGACACACTCATAGGTGCGTGGGTGCAAACATGTTTAGTATGGAGCATTGCATGCCATAATCGGTTACTTGGAGTGCCCATCGCTCATTGGTCCGGAAGTGGCTGCTGAGGTTCATGGATTCTTTTGTAGCAAGGCGTGCCAGCTGTCGTGTGGGGAAAAAGGGTGCATAACCTTGCCTATGCAGCACGATGCGCGCATATGGATTTTGCGGGCATTTACACGCATTCCAGCACGCTTTGCCAAGCTAACTGACTTATACGTAGGCGTACCGCCAAAACGGCAATACCATTCGTGCCCATTTGGAGTATCATAACGATTTTCCAAGGTCCTAGCGTGCATGCACAGGTACATTTTATTCCTCTCATCGATTTCTGGGAACAGATCATGGAAGCCCAGTGAAACTTGAGACATCACATCTCAACTGAGTTGTTTTAAAGACATACGGTGTGTTGTAGAGTGGAATTTACTTAAGATCAATGAAGAGGAAAAGCCTATCTAGGTCTAGGGACTATGTTAATTCAAATTCTGTATCTCTCTGTCTACATTTTTACAAACAGAGCTAGAGAAAGCTGTTGTGGTCCTAGCGATTGTAATTAAAGCCTTGTACCAAACGCAAAATCAATTTTCTCGATCAGAAGTGAGTTCAACTTAATTATCCACCATCTACTAAGGATAACAAACAGTGCAGAGAATAAAATGAGTGTCTAGATGAAGTTTAGATTCGACTGGAGGGTTTTGATGTTGACTGACAAGAGGATCATGAACTAGACTTAGTAAAATCAGCATTTCTTGCTCTGTCTTCCTCAGAACCATGTGTGGGACGCAAACTTATCGGTCAATTAGTCGTAGGCAAGCATTATTGACAGTGTTTTCGATTTTATCTGCTTTACTGACACGAACTAATTCATAGGTTATAATACGAAAAGACCGTCCCATGAACAAGACGAGTACAATGAGCTGTGATAAAACAAAGCGACGGAAAAGTCTGCAGTTCCCAGCACACTTCAATTGACATTACTAGTTTGCACATGCGTGGAAGCTTATTTTGAGATGACTGACCACATTCCACTTTGGTGAGCTCCACTAAAGCATTTTGACCACCTAACAGCAAGCTCTTGGCTGATAGGACACTGGTAAGCCAACCGTGAACGCTATTCCAAATCATTTTGCTTTTTCTCAGCAAATTTTGGAGAATGTGGTTTTTATAAGTGGTGGCACTAGTTATTGAATTCGATACTAGGCCCCCATTTAGACAAACCCGGGGAAAACACTTGCCACAAACCCACAGCTGCCCTAATTAAACATGTGGCAGCGGCTAATTTAACCATCTGTTAAACCTCTGTATAAGTGTTCCGATGACCTAAACCAACAAGATTTTCAGCGTTCTGAAAGCGACTGACATTAATAGGATCCTAAAATCTCAGTAAAAAAAACGTCGCAAGCATAGAACCAGCATCGGCTATTTATAAACAGATATTTTGAAAATGCAAATATGTTCTTTAGGAAATGCCTTTGTACTGTGGATTGACAAAGTGTGGCTGGATTTTTTCCAAATGCATTTGTTAAACGAGTTTAGTAATCCCAAAAGAACTAGTTGATATGTTAAATAGGACTATTTCTCAACTGAAGACGTCCTTGACAAGCAATTGGAAGATTTAGATCTCATAGTTTGAAAAACGTAATCACTAAAAGGATTGGAAACTAATCACCGATGTTGAATCTACGGTGGACAATTTCAAATGGTGCTTTATTTCCCAAGTTCGAAGTCACATCGATAAAACCCACAGTAATTTAACATTTTAGACTACCACTAGTTTACTTCAACATTTAACATATTATGATATGATGGATGATATTTAGACAAAGTAAGCTGGACAACAAAACTTGCCGTTGATCAATGAGAGGAGAGAGCACAACACTGCAATTTAATGGTCTGGATTAAAATGGCTCAAGGAGGGACAGCACTCAGTAACACGGGTGTTCAGTGCCAAGTCAATTTCAACCTCAGCTAAAACAAGATCTAATGCCCCACAACAAGCGACATCAATACATGTAATTTGTAGGTCAATACTGACGAGCTATGACACTTAGAACACCAGGAAATACAGCAGCAAAGACACTCTCATCACTAATGACAATGTTATCTGCTAAAATTTGCAAATTATTAAATTTCAAACAAGATGGATTTCTTAGTGTATGATCTGCGAGTTATTTAATTAAAGCAAATCAACTTGTTTAAAGCGTGCACGATAACAGAGCATGCAAGTGATTAATAAAATATTTGGAATTAACTAATTCTTGTGTAATAGTTTTCTGCACGATTCGGTTTGACGCAGACTAATGAAAATAGAATAACTGTTATCCAATCTAGGTACTTAATTGCCTCAACAATCGAATTTTGGAAAGAGTTTCTAACATAAAATTTTTTTTTGAATACGCAAAAGCATTTAAATAGTATTTTAAGCAAGGAGAATTGCAGACTGATTTACGGCCTACGAGCGACAAGATCAGGTCGAATTGTGGCTACCACTCCAGCAGACAGGAAATTTGTTATTTCAATGGTTGCGCACCAGCTAAATTTGGTCGGGAGCAAAATGCACTGGAGAATCTGTACAAATTATTGGTCTGCTAGTGTCCATTCTCTGAGGTTTAAGTTCAGAGCAACTTGTGGTCATACGTCGCAGTGGGAGAAGTACTGGTTCATCAATTTTGTGGGTCCGATGCTTTGAGGTGGCAATTTCAAGATTCCCGAGAAATCCTGACTCGGGTTTCAGTTAAACATGCTGATCTATTAACCTGATGAGAAGCGAAAAGGTGACGATCTAAAGTACCTGGCTAAGAACTCGCTGTAGTGGAACTGTGATTGCCCTTCTTGAAGGCGATGTAGTGAGCCGTCAGTAGACGCGTGTGGGCTGAAGTTAAGCCGAGGCAAATTGATTGGCATTCATGACTCACGCCTACCTTACATCGGTCGCTGTTCACGATCCGACTCTGAGCGCGTTCACGCACAAAAACACTCTATACCTAGTGGATTAAGATATGGAATAAACGTCTCACTCCTTCTCTGGTTACCTCTTATTGTATCTTTCCGCGACAGTGGATTTAATACTGTGTGAGGATTGAAAACACTATGCATCATCAACGCAAATGCCACGATGTCGACTGGGTCGACAACCAACTTTCTGTTCGCCGTTATCATCTATGAATAAACTACTTGTCTTCCTAAATTCGTTGATGATCGCCCTGGGACTGTTTTTGGTACTACACAAGTGGTGGTTTGATAAAGTTAATTTAAACATCTTGCCATCTTTTCTTGTATATGGGAGGTTAAATAGGACAGAAGAATACAAGCGTATACTGGAATGATCAATGACTTGGTGTCACCTGGATGTTCGTAAGATCACCATCAAGTCACTAACTTCACTGGCTTGTTATGTAGAAAGTTGTTAAACGGTTGTCGAAAGAACTAGAGGTCGGAGATGTTATTTACCTAACGCAACGTTTAGTTTCAGCTTGTATGGAGGACAATTGGGCGTTGGAGCTATAAAAGGAAGGAGACACGAGAGCGTAGAGGTGCGTTGTACCAGACACCAAGAAGGCAGTTGGGGGTGACGGGCACAGCTGTTGGTTCGGTGGTCAGGCCACCTGGCAGCGTCTAATGTAGCACGGGACAACAGAAAAATTTGAGCGTCCAACATACAGTTATAAAATGAAGTTTAGCAAAGTATATTTTCGTGTAAGGTGTCTTAATTCCGCTACATTGTTGTGCATTTTCAAACGCTTTAACAAAAGTTTAACCTTAAAATATTCTCAATTTTGTATTACACATGGTTATTTCATGTTTAGGAAACCAGGCTATTTTGATTTGTGTACAACCCTCAATTCGTAGTGATCCGAAACTAATTAAAAATAGAAGGATGGGATACAAGGGGCAAACGGCCTTGACAAAATATTAAAAAAATATCTGAAGTAATATCTGACACCAAAGTATACTAAAAACAAAGTTTTTAGCCAAAAGCAGAACAGCTAGCTTAGAAAACAACTTTGTTCTTGTCTGGTTGAATGTCCACAAATTGTTCCCATGACGACATTGAAGCAGAAGCACGGTAATGTGTAAAATCAATGTCAAACAGAAGCAGTTGCCATCGTTTATCTCATCGGAGGCCACTTGATGAAGGGGCTTTAGTTTTGCTAGGAAGATTAAGGTGGACAATGGCAGAAGCAACTAGCTTTGATAATTTCGAGATGCTAACCTAGGTCATAACGAGCCATGGGTAGGAAAGACTTGGTGTAGATTACACTGGTATGCCTTAAAAGTTAGATTAAGACTCATGATTTAATTTGTAGGCGTCTATCAAATTTCTGTTCTTATGAAGAAAACAGCATTAGGAAACAGTTGAAATTCAAAAAATTATTTAATTGGCTAATGTTCATATCCTATGAAACAAGGCCAATCTCAGGGACTCTGAGCCAAACTTTTAGCTGTTAGTCATAATTAGTCTGGAGAGGCCTGAAGCCCCAACCCAAATGGCCTGCATTATCTACACAGAATGTGAGGAAAAGCTGGGATGTCTACTTAAAATTGAAATGAAGGAACCGTTCTTGGTATTTTGCTTCTGAGACTAGCTCATGTGATGACTCACCCCACACCTACACGCACGCACACGCGCATGCTCTCCGAAGCCCTTGGCACTTTCCTGAGGCATTCTACTGAATTAATATCTCCTATGCAAATCGACATGAAATGCCTACGTTTTTAAGTGTAATTAAAATTGTAAAAGTTCACTGTTGCAGAGATGTAGAATCAGGTAATTATGGCATTGGCTCAGGTTAACTTGAAACTTAATAAACCTTAACCTGGAATAACTAAACCAGCAGGAACTGAAAGAATTTTTATAGAATAGTTTTATGTCTGTCCTTTAAATCTAGAGTGAACGAAAAACATCAAGGACATTGGACGTTAAGATTATCAGAGGACAATTAACACTAATTTGAAGCTATCAAAGACACAGCGAAATAAATCGGGCGATCTCTGATTATTGCTAGAAGCTGGTCTTATCTAAAGCTCTTATCGGATCGATTCGCCTTATCCACTAGAATTTATAACGAACAAACATGTTGGCAAACACATGCACTAACAACGCTGATAAACACTGCCATTGCGCTTGTAATTCCTGGCTTGTTCCAGAGAGATGAATGTGAAGCAATTGACTAAAGGTTAAAAAGCCCGTGGAAACGTGATTGGCTGAGGATTTTAACCTTTAGAGTGAACGTCATTCAAGCAATCAGGCCGAAGTTGGGATCCAAGTGACTCGCGTCTGCTCTAGTGACGCTACATTTGCATAAACTCACACCTTTTGGCTTAGAGGTTTATCGGTAACACAGACCAAACAAAGCCACTTCGATAATTGGGGAACTATTTTCCGTCAAGCCCTAGATATTTTCTGCGTTTTCTGGGACCACTAATAGGATTTAATCCTAAAAAAATACTGAATAAATATTTTAATACCTACCGGACGTCACCGCGACGCCCCAGACACGATTTTGACTTCGTTTCCCAAAATCCTTGATATCAACGCGGCCAGTAAATGCCTACTAAGTACTTTGTGGTTCATTACATACGACAGATCACTCGGAAGTCATCAAAACTCCACACCCATTTTCATGTGCTGCCTTTAACTGGCCCATTTCCACTTAGCCCTGGTGAGGTGGAACCAAACTGACCTAAGGCAGGTGGATTTGCAATTAACTTGAGAGTACTAGCTTATTTAGTTTTTAATTATAGAAAAGAAGTAAATGACTGATGCAAACAATCCAGTTTCTCTCTCCCTTAATTAGTATCTGCAAAAAATCGGTTTTTTTATCCAGAATGCTTTGTTAAGAGTCCCGTGGCCTTCGCTACTTTCGAATATCATACCTTTCAGTCAGCACGCATCTGATTAAATAACAACAATAGTGCGGATTTACTAACCGAAATGGCTAGCCCTGATTAGTCAACGAACGATTCTCATATGTCTTTTCAGTTTTTTTTCCATTTGCATGGCCATCCAATAATGTAAGCAGACTTTTACTGCATGTGATGCCTTGGAAATACCAAAAATGCCCTACTCCAATTACAGCTACACTCACTATTTGATTTTATTCATTGATTCAAAAAAGGGAAAATGAAACATTAATTTTGTCGCATAAGTTGTATTAAAGTCTCCTTTAGGCTGTGTTTTCAAATGTTTCATAATCAAGAAATATGGGCGTTGAAATTTTTACATACACTATCACCCCTCACCTACCTACTAATTTGGTAATCGCAACAACTGTGCTTAATGTGTTCCTGTCAGAATGAAAGCAAATTTATATGAAAGTTCTTGGTTCGTTTATTTATTCTCCTCCTCCTCCTCCTACGTGCCTCTTGGTTGGATTAGCGCGCATACGCCAGAATTTGTACACGCATCTACGGACGACAAATCGATACTTCGTGCACACGCTTTGTGCGCTCGCAGTGGCCTAAGCACTTCACCCGTGAGGACACGCGACACGTCTTTGACCTCGGTTTAAGCAATAAAGACCTCCCAGTCAGCGGAACCCCTTTTTCTGCAATACAAAAAATAATCCAGGAATGACTTTGTCGAGTAGTGCGCACAACAAGAAATGTCTACGTGGTCTTTACAAAATGCAAGCCTGTCCCCTTTCAAGCAATACGATGAATTTTAATAAGCTGCAGAAGCACTTTTATCGTTCCGACTTGTGATAATAGGCCAATTGTAGAAAATCACACATTTTGTTTTACCAGATTCATTCAACGCCACCAAGGGTTCAGCATTCCTGATGCCACGATCGAACATTGGACATGTCGGTATCAATTATATTTTTTGGATGCAGATCTGCCTACATACATTTAAAAATGAAAATTCTGAATTCCTAAGATAAATAAACCTTTGAAAGTGTAGTGATCTACTCAGGGCCATTGGAATCACTCCTAAATCTCCAATACGTAAAAAAGTAGCAGTAGATTCAATGGTGCCAAAAGGGCATGGAGGCTTCAGTTCGAGATTCTGTTCTCCCTAGAAAGCTTAACTTCGACCAACGTACACTTAGCATTGAAGTCCTGGTTTGCTGGAAAAAGACCTACCTAATACCGATTATTTTACTTGTTACTTCCATGTTACTCAAAGATAGCTGGCATTTCGAGTCCCATAGTTTTCATTTGTCTGACGAAGTATGTCGACAAATATGTAATTTATGGGAGAAATAACTTCAAAACATAAAACCCCTGCCAGTTTAGAAAAAGTTTCTTTCAACTAAGGTCATTCCATGTGCTTTAAACAGCCTCAAGCAGAGTTCCGTCATCTTTCTTTCAAACGCGTTACTTTTAAACCCCTGCGAAAACTTCGTGATCTTAAAACCGACCAGGTACTTATGCCATTGTCTACAGCGGCCAATCATCATTTGACAAAATATTCCCAGTTTTTGTGGACATGGAGGCATTCACGTGTCAATTTAGGTCATTGTGGTAGTACATTTTTATCCATTGAGCACTGTTTTGTAACTCATTTTTGCCTAAGTTAGTCAGGTGTATAGGCCCTAAATTACCTTAAAGCGCATTATTCCGGTCCTAACGCTAATAATGATACATTCAAAATAAATAGTGAGAGATGGTGCAGTTTAGCCATTAAATGAGTTTTTAAAACTCAACCTAAAAAACATATTTGTCCTAAGGTTTTAGTAAAGTTGTTGATGCCATTAAGTAATTCATTCCCCAAAAACAGCTTCATCAGTGATAAAAGGCTTATTTAGCTTAGCGAACTTATCAACACCAGACAGGAGAACAGGGTCACAGGTTACTAAAAATTAACTACTGTCGTGGGTTAGTTCAAAATACCGTTTTTTATATGAACCTCTTTTACATCAATTACTTGGCTGTCTTAAATCGATTTGGTTCAAATTACAGAGTTTCCAATAATACAGCGAAGCAAAGACACTAGTTTAAAGTTAGATTAGTCTGCTGGCAGAGGATTATTTTTGTTGCAAATTACGTTTAAAAACAAATAAGATCTAAGGCATTTGCTAGGCTGAATGAAGCTGTCGGTCAATTTATCTTATACCAATGGACAAAGAGACATTATATCAATCGTTAAAATAATTGCGTTTAGCTTCAAACAGTCACAGCAAAAATAAAACGCCCAAATCATAATGAGTCACTTTGGTCATAGGATAAATTGAAATTTTTCTTAGGTTCTCATTCAGTCCAGATCTGCGTCGAGGACGAGTAAAACTGCAGACGACCTCCAACATCATGACTGGGTGCATGTGACAAATAGTAGATGAAATTAACGTGGTCTTTTACCAGTTGTGAAGAAATTAAAAGTGGCATACGTGGTATCAATACTTAACACAAGACAGAAAATATAATGAATCACATTTTTCCCAAAAGCTTAATTTCACAGATTAATAAAACCGATTTAGGGATAATTTTATGCTAATAAGTATGAAAACGAGTGCAAAACGTGAAGAATTAATGATGTCACAATAGGAAACGGAATCCGATAACTACAAACCAGAAGTCTTCAAACGGAACTAATTAATTTTTACGAACAGAAATTCCATGTTACAAATACGGTCATTTTTATCGTATAATTAGCTCACAGTCAGTTATTCAAGATAAGACCACCTTATCTTGTATGTAATGGGTTATGAATAGGTGTTAACTTGATTTACTTCAACAGGCATTAATTTTCGTTTGGGGTTTTTAAAATAGTGTGCCTTTTTCGATCTGGCTGTCTAGTTATGATCAGAAGCCTTTTTATTATTAATAAGGATAGGGAAATTCTTATCGAAAAGCATTGGAAATCTATAACCCCAAAATCCGTTTTGGACTCGATATATGAGGGTCAATCAAAAGTATGGCTTTTTTAAGCATGCTGAGTTTACTTAATTTTCCTTGTGATACGTAGAAATTTCCCCTACATTGTTTTATTGTTTTATGAAAGAGGAGAACTTCTTTATTGTTTACCCGTTATCACATGAACGCATTTTTTCGGCAAATCAATGAAAAAAATATTTGGTGAATGTGTGCTCGATGGCAATTCCAATTGCACTCACTTAATTGAATTGTTATTCGGACAGTTTTGTGCGAAAAAATTATTTTCAGTAATAGTAATACGTGCCTTGTGCTTGGTAATACAACGAATCCTATTTGTGCTATTTCGCTTCTTTTGCTCATTTTAGCTTGCGAATCCAATGAAAATCCCACCCGTGATAGAGAGCTCTAACAACATAATCTTGATTAATGTACAGAAGAATGGTGTGTTTTTTGTAGCGGCCTGCGCCGGTGAAGGTACTGAAACATTGTTAATATTTCTCGTTTTTCAGCCCCTCCTCTTCTAATCGTGGAATTTTTAAATCAAGTAATATTTATTTTTGAGGACTACTTTGGACCTCTCTCTGAGTCGGTTATTTTAGAAAATATCGTGTATGCCTTTGAGGTAAGCAGGTCATAAATTAGTATCCTTGGCATAGTAAAAGGAAAAACATGCCATGGACTAAACAATTTGCTTATTTTTTTCGAAATTTTCACCCAAGGTTTAATTTTGTTTTTCATTTTCCAACAACTTTTATTGGGGTTCTATGGTCAATTATCTATTTGCTTGATGACTCTGTCTATGAATGATCAGCTCAGAAATGTCCATGTGTTCGCAATTAAGCGGGAGTACTCCATTGAACATGACTTAGAGCACCTACAAAGTTTTTCAAGGCGCATGCTCTGCGTCCTAAATTAAGTGGTTACGTCTATTTCAGATATTGGACGAAATGCTTGATAACGGCTTTCCACTCGCAACTGAGTCGAATATCCTAAAAGAGCTCATCAAGCCACCTAAATTTCTTCGCTCAATTACCGAAGCTGTGACAGGTAGACCGGCTGGTGGTGTCGTGTCAACTTTACCCGTTGGTCAGTTGACGAACACTCGGTGGCGTCGTGCTGGAGTTAGATATGCCAACAACGAGGCCTTCTTTGATGTAGTTGAACGCATCAATGCCATCATTGATCGTTCGGGGAATGTCCTCCTTGCTGAGGCCGAAGGGTCGGTAGGTTTTCATTTCTTGCTGATTATTCTGAATATCTAGAGTTTTTTTATTCAGACTTTCCTGCACTTTAAATTAGTACCATATATGTTTGTATTATTCACTAATCAACCTATGCTGGATTACTTTTCGCCTCACTTTTTCATAAATACGCTTACGATATTTGTCGTACACTTTACATGAACTATTAAGTTTACTAGGGAGTCCAGAAAACTGCTGTTGTATGACAGCTATTAACATCTATAAATGATCTCTTATAATTCATAGATAGACTGTGTCGTTCACCTCTCAGGGATGCCAGATCTGACACTTAGTTTCAACAATTCCCGTCCGCTGGAGGATGTCGGCCTCCATCCCTGTGTGCGTTACCTCCGATGGGAGAAGCAGCGAATACTTTCCTTTGTTCCTCCGGACGGCAAATTCCGACTGTTCACATACTTAATTCACAACCTCAGGCAAGTAGAACCCGTCCATTTAAATTACGAGCTCTAAAAAATGTTCTCTGATGCGCCCTCAGTTGATATTATGGGTCTTTTTGTAATGGAAAACGGATATGTTTCACTGAGGCCATATCTAAATATAGCAAAAAATTTCCCGTGATTCTGCCAGTAAATATCGGTTTTTCGTTAAACAAAATCGGGATAAACCGATTAGTTAGCCGGGACCAAACCTGTTGATCTCTGAACCGATCTGGTTATTGCCATTGTATGCCTAGGGCTTTACAAGCCATTTGGTGTCATACGAAAATTTGATTAGAATGTAATCGTTAAAGGTGAGTAATTTCTGAAGTGTATTCATATCTGAAACGAGATGGCAGGTGTTTGAAGTCACTGACGTACATAGTTATTTTAGCCTTTGTGAGATTTCTAAACACTCTCACCCCTAACAGTGGCCTATGACTTGTTTTTCGATGAGTTCATGCAGTCCAGATCCTAATATCTTTTAAAAAGAATCCTTCAATGTGCCTGACCATTTATGATCATTAATGTTATTTAATTTGCTTGTAGTTCCTTAGACCGGATGGGCAGTAAAGCAAGGATTTCTTTGTGACTAAATTTACATTCTTATATTTTACTTACTTTTTAACATTCGAAAAGCTTGACTAGATATTTTAAATTGATATTTTAGTTCTATATCTCTACCGATTGCCTTGAGGCACAACATTATCATCAAAGGTGCTAATAGTCGCATCGAGCTCTCTGTTTCTCCAAAGTCCACGGCGGGGAAGCCAGTAAGTGCCCTATGCATTTAATTATTCTTTTTGCCAGTGTTGTGTATATATCCCTCCGTTTTTTCACACTCGGAGCACTGCTCAGGGTGGGCAGATCATCACGAATGCAGTGTGGATTTAAGGGGGCGTTCTCGCCCTTTTGGTTTGGTGCATCGGCGTCAGCCGAATGGCGGGCTGTGGAGCGAAGCGTATTCGCTCTCTGGGCCGTGTCCTGCCGCATTGATATTTGCCTTCATTAAGTCACTGATAAGGTTTAGCCTTTTGGTCGAGAAGTTGCACGACCAGTTCAGTTTGACAGGTTCAGATATCGCCGCTCTTTACAATCTCATATACACGGACCCGGTTTTTCACCAATACAGCACTTACTACACAAAACCTGTGGACATTGCAAAACCTAGGAATTGGTGTAAAAGCGAATTAACACTTGTCAGGTGGATCGAATCGCTTAGCAGCAAGTTGTATCACCACTTAATGATTTCTTGTGACTACAGCAACACGTGACCTACATTTATCAAATCGTAGCCGTTATAGAAATAACTGGATTACTTCTGATAGGTCTTTCGACATTATGAGGCTCTTGGTCACGTTCTTTAATGTACACAGCGCCTGCATTATGTTCAACAGCCTGTGAGACAACACGCTAAAGGCCTGCACTTATGCAGCGAATTGTTGTTTAATGCAGCTCGAGAAGGTCGTGGTGAACGTGATCATGCCACCGGAGGTCAGCAGTGTCAATGTGACCACGTCTCTGGGCAAGTCGACGTTCGATGCTACGACCAAAACTCTCGTCTGGGACGTGGGACTCTTGGAGACGCGATCCTATCCCTCCCTCAAGGGCACCGTGAGTTCCCACTTTTTTATGTGGCGTCATAACCCCCTCCCCTTCAGCAGCATGTATCCACCACACAACGTACTCAAAACTAGCCCGCACCTCTAGTCAGGTCTCGAAAAGCTTCCATTAAATTACGGGAGTTTTAAGTACCGAACAAAGTCCTGCTGAAACTAGGAAGGCATTTGGTTGTACCTAAAAAAATCAGCCCTGTTTTGTTAAAATACCCACATAAGATAGGAAGAGAAGGTAAATAAATCGCGATGAAAATAAGACAGTAAGGTTATTTACGATCGAGTGGTCAAATAACCTTACATTGTGACAAATTAGGTGGGGAAATAAGAAAACCAGCTCATTTTTATCGTTCTACCAGATGCGCAAGTGACTGCGTCAAATGAAGTTTTCAACAAAACTTCACAACTATCAACTTTCTGAAGATCTTTGTGAATACCTTCAAGATTGCTAACTTTACGTGTACGAAACATTCGCTGTCGACTACTGGTGTTATCCACGTTCACTTTCGACTTAACCACTAAAAACTGTTTTACCCTAAATCCATTGCAAAAACTTGTTACTAATCTATTACGGCGTCTCCAAGACAAACTCGAGAAAATTGTAAATGTTGTATTTTTATGTTTAACTACTTATGCAACACTTCAGTGCTTTTTTACACTTTATGCTTTGGATACTGATTTTTTGTGAAAATCCGTTTTATACTTGGTTCAGTACCGCGAATCCTACGTTCTTACGTGGTTTGCGGTTGAGAGGCCTTGGTACAAGAGGTTAGAGATGTAAAGCAGGCCTGGTTTAGAAGAATATCTGATCCAAGACAATTTTTTTTTTCAAATTTTAGATAACATTACAGAGTGGCTGCACACAGGCTTCTGCGGCCCCACTGGTCACTGTCCAATTCGAATTTCCCAAAACTCTAGTGTCTGGTCTTCGCGTAGCGAGACTGGATTTGCACGCCGAGGTGAGAACTTTAATGTAGCAACTGCTTTGCAGGATATTTTAAGCTACAGAAGCATCAGCTTATGTAGTGTGTTTGGCTCACACTTGTGCATGGATATGCTAGGCCCCTCGTCACCTCCCTCCGCATCTTTGTTCAATGCGATGGGTTCGTGCTGTTTTTTCATCTATCATATTCACCCTAATTTCGACCCGGGAGATCGGAATGACCATCGAAAAGCTAGTACCACACTGACTTCACGGCTTCGTAAACTACCTTTTCGGGCTAAACGAAGGCACCAAGTGGGGCAGACACTGCAGCTTGGCTTCGCGAACGCGAACCCTTGCCAGTTGAGTCTGGAGCAAGACATAGTCACGTGCTGCGTCTCACTGCCCTCCATAGGATACCTCTGCATCCCCCATCCTGCACAACCGGTCCTTTCTCTTTAAGTCACTAACCCTGTGTAGTTTTGGATGCATGATTGTTGCTCGCTTTTAACGTACAAACTATTTCCCAAGTCTTGGCTACTTCAAGGGCAATTTGCTGAATCTAACTTTGAATACTTAAAAATTCACACAAGTTATGTTTTTGTACTTTAGAATTACAAACCGTACAAAGGTGTAAAGTACCTCACCACTTCGGGCAAATTTGAAGTGAGGGTCTAGGAGACCGTTGACCAGCCAAAGAATACACCTCGTTGTCTCTGTCTTTCTTCTCTAACTTACTTTTCAAGTAAAGCCCTGTTTTGTCCCAATAAATTTAATCCCATGTCTTGTTTCTGGCTGCGTTCTTTTGGGGTGATTAAGGTTCGCCTTGGTTTCACGGGAATTATTATGCAGATTCCGCCCAAGTCCACAGTGCTCGTGAGGCTCGACTTCGAAAGATGACTTTTTGCAGGCATGCACTGAAAAGTCACTACGGCAACTTGTCGAAACTGTGGCCTGTGGGTCTTAGTGCTAATACTGCGAAGTTCCCAACCAATGATAGCTTGGCTTTCAATGGCTGGTGAGTCAAACTTTCGAGCAGGTCACTTTTTCGGTTAGGAAGACTGCGGTTCCGACTGATTTTAAAAAGAGCTACAGCACTGACCTAATGATTATTTACCCAAGTATGATAACGCATTTTAGAAGGGGGTGTGTTTTGGCAGTACGCTACTGGGAAAACATTGTTTACATAGGAAAGACGGCTGTACATAGCGAAGATGTAGAAATGAAAGACTAGACGGGTCAGAGGAGGTTTCATTGTGGGTACTTCATCCTAGCTTGCGGCTTGACACATCTCCTCCACGTAACTAAGTTTCTGTTCCATTCTGGTTGGGTCGATTTCAAGTTCATTGGCGGTGAAGGTTGGGGGTGCATAGGGGAACCAGACCGGGCCCATATCTGGAGGCTTCGGAACAACTCCTGTGCTTGTTGCCTCAGTTATTAACTTGGGATCCACAGGAAGCATTGGTCTGAAGTGTACGGTACAGGTTAGCGGAACACAGAGTAACAGAGGACCAGACGAAAGTGACAGATTGTAGTCAAACGGCACCCAACAATTGCGAAATGAGGTTGTTAAGTGACAAAGGGGTTTTTTCGTAGAAAGCAAAGTCCACCAGTGTTGAGTCTGCTACTTTGTATAAACAATTTTAATTTAAATGTTGAAATTTTTGATCGTCGTGGATTTAGGTTCAAATCTTTTTCTTACCTAGATGTTACATAAACTGACCACTAACGACTGGCTACGTGGCTATTGAAATGGACCGGAGAGACTAAATCCGTCAAAATTGTTTTCGCGCAACCTCAGTTCTGATTCCGACTTCGAAATTGATGTAATAAAACGAGATCTCGTTTGGAAAGTAATCATACACTGAGCTTAAATTTCCGATCAAAAGAATAATTTATCTAAGGCAATTATTCGCAACCTTGTCACCTTGGGACCGTTCTACAAAGAATCGGCATTAAAAAGATTTCAAGGCATTGTATCAACTAGGTGTTTACCGATTCAATTCGCCGCAGAGGTCTGTAGGCCAATCTGACGTACAGCCGTCCCTTCTGCTGCCAGTTTTCTCGCAAACCCACTCGGACAATTCCGCTGTTTCGCAAACGGGCGGCTCAGAAATAAACAGCACGCTAGACAATGAGAAATCGCCGGTGCTGCCGAAATCATCGATCGGTTTAAATGCCACGGAGAGAGCCTCGTTGAATGCCTGCATTCGCTCTCGATGCATCAACTGGCTGTTGACTGGGGCCTGCTGGTAGAGCGAGGAGCCGAATGTCTGCATCATGGCTGCGTCGGCGGCTGCATTGGCGATTTGTGTTAGCTGCTTACCTAAAATGCGAAAACGTCGGGTTTTGACCTGACGACGCGCGTTCTGCCAACTTGACTAGAGCCCCGCAGTGTCAAAAAGGCCTACGAAACTTGTTGACGCAGCCAGGCTCTGAGAGGGCGAAGAGACACCACTACGACGTCAGAAGTCGATCGGCGTAGGTGATATCACAGACTATATATGCAGAGCGTCCCTACACACAGGGGCAGTAGGCCGGGTACACATGTCCTTAACCAATCAAATGATTCAGGGAAGCAGGGTCTTCACAATCGATCACGGCAAAGGCGCTTAGGCCCCTTTATCTACGATCTCAAATATCAGTGAATGTTTCATTATTTTCCGTTCTAACTATACAAACTATGAATTGGTTACATTAACTTTAAATCCAAATCTATTTGCAGGGGATAGTGAGCAAAGAGGGAGGAGAATCGGTAAGCTCGAGAGTAACAAACTATAGGAGCATACTCCTCCTTCCGACGTTATCAATTCGCCAAAGTAAATAACACGAAGTACAGACCGATAGTACTTCGTGAACAAGCCGAGACAAGACTAATCCAGGCACCAAAAAGTTACCGGCCATTCGTGAGAGGGCTTGGTTGCCCGTCTCTGGTAGGTGGTAGTCCCCTGTGGTCGAAAGATTATCCAAATCCGCGGGAATCAGTCCATCGGCGAAGGGAGACGCGAACTCCGTCTGCATTGACGAGTGGTTGAAGCGACAAGACTCTAAGGACGTGGAATAGAGGTGAAGGTTGCCAGCCTCTGTACCGAAGAGAAGGCACTGCCCACTAAAATAATAAAATTACGCCACACCGATAGAACTCGCGTAAATCCACTCAATTAAAACTACAGAGTAGAACAAGTTGTCAAGTCAATTACAGCCAAAGTCGACATTGTGTTAATCTCTAACACTTCTAGCATCGATTACCAGGGGCTGATTAACCAACCAACAATGACAGCATTCCTACAATTTGGTCTAAAGGTCTCAATAAAATGAAAAAGTCAAAGGCCTAACCAGGCCGCAAAAGCCCAAACGATTAGAAACGTGACATGCCAAGTAGTGTGAGCGAAAACTTGGGTAGCATTTTTAAGGAAAAAGAATTGCATGAAATATCAACCTTCCTTGTCAAATCCGATTACATTGAGGTCAGAAATACAGGGACAACCTAGCAGAAGTCCACAGTGTACCAATGGTACGAACACAGTGAAAGGCCACCCAATGCTTGCTCATTTTGATCAACATGTACAGACGACTCGTCATACGGCTCCACAATCAAAAAATTTATTGTGTAATGTCAATAAATCCGGTGCTATTGAGGCAACCAGTAGAAAATCCAAAATGGTCCTCAGAAATATATAAAGCTTGTACTGCTTAAACGCACAAGTTGCCTTTGGGTTGTTAATGAAACGGTTTATTAACCTGAACTCATTTGCATAGTAAGCAAGTCTCCGAAATTTGACAAAAGGGTGACCTACAATCTGTCAGCGAATGCTAACTTATGGTTCCTGTTCTCTTGCCAAACAAGGTAATTTAAACCCAACTCCCGTTTAAATCCCCTAATCTCCATGCGTTTTCACCTGGCTGACCCAACGAGACAGCAGGCAATTTCAACACTGAATGGCTTTAACACCGATGCAATAAAAATTTGTCAAATTAATCGAGGCCAGACTGGTCTGAATTTGCGTGCTTGGAAACCACAAGCGCAAGGCACATTACTCGAGTTTCTTCATTCCCTAGGTAAGATCTGTTCAATGTACATTCACTAAACTAGCGATGCATCATGGTACCTTTACGCGGATTCCGAATGTGAGATGCACTAACAAGTCATTTGCATATGTGGATGCAAAATGTAAGCATCGATGATGAATTTAAAAAATGCGCACTTTCGGTGAATCGGGATGAAGTCAAGGTATTTTAATTTTTTTCGACAAATCTTACAGATTACATTGGCAACCAATAAACAGCACATTCGGCACTGCATTTATGCGAATTCCACCTGGGAAAAAGTACCTCTAAAGCACGAGAATTAATTCAGAGTGCTCTCGGTGCCGACATTGTGTCTTATGCAACGTGGAACTATTGGACAAGCATTTTATAAGCAGTGACTATGATCTTAGTGGCCAAATACGCCCCGGACAGCCTCAAAAGTTTGAAAATGCGGAGCTGCAAGCTCTGCTGAATGAAGACTCAACGCAAGTGCAACAAGAGCTAGCAGCTCAGTTATGGGTCACCCAAACGCGTTTGCACCACCAAATGGGCAAAATCCGGAAACTTGGAAGTGATTCAATGTGATTATTGCCTCGAAGCCTGCAAGTTTCTTTCGCGACGGCATTCACACGGTCGCTGTTCTCCATTTTTTACATAAAGTAAATTTGGCAAAAAAATCTGCGAAACTTAAGTCATACATCTAGCATGTTAGCGTATAAAGTGCCTGATGGGTTCCTATTTAATTGAAGGGGTTTACATGAATAAATCTAACAAAACATCGGTTACCTCTCTCGTACGAGAGACGACCACGTAGAAACCGAAAAGAAGCTCATTTAGAGAATGTGAGCAGTAGATATCTATCCAGGAGAAGCATTTACATCCTATTTGATATTCAAAAATTCTTACCAACAGGTGACCCCTTATAAAGTCAATGCAACCAGTACATTCTGGATTTTTTTCGTTCCCACGCTATAGTAGGGTGTGTATTGATACAACTGAATTTGTTTCTACTCCAACAACATGGCCTGATTTCAAACCAAGTGGGATTCACTTGAGTGTAAGGAAACAGTACGAATCAGACGTACTTCGAAGAAACGCAGAACGAATTGAGTCGATCGTAGCCAGCGAGCATGATATCCCCTACGCTCTCAGGGCTGAGATTGCGCCCTTCTAGTTCCAGTGTCTGGAAGCTGCCGACCTGAGAAGCTGCCACGATCTGCTGTGTTGCCGATACAGCTGCTACGAAGCCTGGGTCCACTATGGTGGAAAGAGGGGCCTGAGTACGTCCGAAACGAAGATCAAACACCTGAACAAATACATTAATTGTAATTAACAAAAATTGTTTAGATTTACTTACTAAACGCACTCAATCAAGGCAAAGTACAATTATTCGCTTAATGCTGCCACATATCAAGCAGTTAATAGAGGACTTAATGAGTAAAGGAAGGAAATCGCATAGAATCGAAACTGTTGTCCATAGCTCTAATATGCCCTAAAAATAAACCTTAGAAGTTGACAGTATTGTGTGAGTGGCGGGAGTACGCAACTGCGGATGAGTATCAATGTTTGTGCAACAGGCTGAAAAAAGAGTAGGGGGAGATTTAACAGAACTTCTATCCAAATCGGCTAATCTGAGCAACTGATAGAGGGGAGGTAGGCCCATCGAAGGTTGCCTCGTGGATCAAAAATGTGGGTACATCAAAGAAAGGGAAATCGGATTAGGCGCAGGAGACTCGCATGGAATGGGGTGAACACGCAGCTTGAAGCACATGGAGCAGAAAGGACTCACATTAACCATCCGGTCGATGCGTAGAGAGGAGTCAGGCTTGCGAGACCAACCGCAGGTGAAGAGGGTGTAGCCATTGCTGAGGACCGTCATGTCAGAGATCTCGCCCGAATGGGCCTCGAACGACCGTACCACTCCCCGCATCGCTCTCGGGTCGATAACCTTAACCTGAAAGATGTTTTTGGCGTGTTACGGTTTCCATATTCTGACAACAATATTGATGAAAAGTAAGCTCGCCCTAGCGATACATTAATTGAAGGCATTAGTTTGAAGCAGCAGCAAAGGCAAGGAGAGGTTTCAAATGTTTTTTTACCCACACTTATCAAAGGCCATGTACTTCCTAGAGGAAAAAAATGTATTACAAAGAAGCTCACTAGATATAAAATAGACAGTCCCAAATACTGCGAAGGTGACAGCCGAGGAGTAATTTGACAAGGGGATCCGCGGAGTTAGGTGGTCGTTCATGACAAAGATGAACTATGTTGTGTGGAGGATTTTATCCGAATATAAGATTTATAAAGCGCGTGCCTCCAGAAGAAGACGACTTCAGAGCACAGCAAGAACCTCACCTGTCCCTTGGTATTACCGGCACACAGACCAAAGGCAAAGGGCTGGATAATAACGGAGCCGTCAGGCCCCACGTCGATTGTTCGGATGAGGGAGCCCCAGTTGGCGCCACTGCTCGCGTCCACCTCTAGCAGCTCCGACTGGAGTCCACCGCAGAAAAACCGGTCAAAGTCGGAGGCGTCGAAGGCCATGTTCGCGACGGGGACTGCACGACATGCGGCCATGCACTCCAACGACTGCATCTGCGCCATACTGAAAGAGGAGAGCAACTAGTGTGAAGAACGGCAAAATAACATTTCACTAAACGACACTTATCGATCAAGATGGCACGGGGTTAACGCAAAATATAACCGCTGCATCGACTTTGTTGCTGGTTTTTGATGAATTGCCCATTATTGTAAATGTTCCAGCTTCCAAATCAGATGATGAGTAGAACTAGGAGTCAAAGATGTCTACTAGGCTCGTTTTAAAACTTTCCACTGTGCTAGGTCCGACGAATTCACTACAGTACCACAAATGAGCAACACCATTTACAACTTGAAAATGCACACATTGCAACTGCATACAGGCGCTTTAGTACATTTCTCACCTCGAACTAGACTGCTTCGAATCACAGACATTGTGTGCTGAGCAGATCCGTACGCTGACTGCACAAGGGCCTAGTTCTGACTGAAATTGCCTGCAATGGCACATTTCAGCTCTAGATTAACTACACGTAAATACGATTATGGGAAGTTTCATTCTAACACTACTGATTGTATTGCGCCAAAGATAACAAAAACACCTAGCGTAGTGCAAGCATAGGCACCTCACACCAAGCAGCCATATAGCGATATAAACTTACGTAGAAAAGCCAATCGGCCTACCGGATTTACAGTAAGCGAAAATGGCATTTTTGGCCAATACAAAGACGGCGCGTTCGGTGAAGCGTGGAGAGGGGAAGACTGATTTAAGTTCACACGCTTCGATAGACCCGTCAGTCACTCTTGAGCCAATTGGGGTTACAGGGGTTGTCGTGTACTGCTCCAAGGTACTGCCATAGAAACCAGTCAGCTGACCCTAAACATAAAATACTCACTGCACTGTCTTTTAACATTAGGCAAAATTATATTTTTTTTTTCAAAACGATTCCTCTCAACGGCTTACGGTGGTTGTGACAGACCAAATGAGTTCTTCGCGTGGGTCAAAAGCTATGTCAGCAATCCGATTCATGGAAAACATTCCATTCATGTGCTGACTAGACATCATCCAGTAGCCACCCGTTTGGTAGACTTGTCCGCCTCCACTTTCAACGTCAATAAGAATGGGGAGCAAGGATGATTCGCCTTCGTCTAGTAGTCCAGGGGGATCCATGTGTCTATGAAAAATGTCATGGTAATTGCGAGGCAACCACTAGCAGTAATGGGGCTTTAGAAAAGAAACGATGCGGCAACTGGCGTGAATTAAAAACAACACACAAAAACGGCATAATTTTGAAAATTCTGTAACATCTGTTGATAGCATAGCACTAATTAACAGGCGGTGGGCCTAGACACAAGTGTCGTTTGGGTAGGTCACTTAGCATGATGCAACCATCCATCCACGCTCTGTTCGGCTTTACTTGGACTGGGGATTCCAGTTAGCGATTTCCGTGGATGTTTCACGTCTTAATACTTTATCAACCTCAAGTCCCACTAATAATGAACGAAGATGGAGCGATTCAGGTCGCGTATGCTGACTGGAGGTAAAGCAACAAAATGAAATTTAGACACCATCTATGTGACTTTCATCGCGATACATAGACAAAGTATCACAACTCCAGCAAACTAAACCCCCAAAATATATTCTAAGTCATAGTCTGAGGAGAGGCAATAAAGTCGAAGGCCTTCTAGGACCGAAAAAGGGTTTCTTACAGCTTGTTCCTGCTCAAATATGAAAAAAAAAAGATGACAAGAGCGGGAGAACAGGAGAAGGGTCGTTTTTCAGTGTTTTATTTCGAATAGGAAATTTTTACAAATCAAAAATCAAGCGTAGAACCGCCAGAAGTTGAGGTTGCTTGGGCGAACTGGGACCCAGCTACATTGGAACGATTAACGTTTTCCGAAAGGCAAGGCGGCAAAGTCAAGTGCTGAAAAAGAGATTTAATCATGGTGGATGGCTAAATAATGATTCATCTCAAAAACGAAGCGGAAATCAAAAGCCTAGCTTCTGTCTGATCTTCAAGCATTCCAATTGCATTGCTTTTAAAGCTACTATAACAGTGACTTCACTAAAAACAAAGTACACAAATGGAACTAGCCCCAGCACTCCAAAGACGGTTCCTTGTTTGAAAGCAGCGAATCTCACGAACCGGAAGCAGCTCTCGGACCACAGATCTACCAACGAGAACAAAAACGTCCTCATTTATAGTAGCAAGTAGAAAACGCACTCTAAATTTGAGACGCGGTAGGCACGAAGCGCCCGGAGAGGTATCCGCACAAGTTCGAATAAACCGAATGGTGGTGACATTCCTCGTTTTTGATAAATCAGACTGCTCAACGGATATTACGTAATCCGCCAGTACCAAAATTACCTTGGAAAACACAGATGCGCCACGTAAGCTGTGCGAGGGGTCATGTACACTTGGCGTTGGAAAAGGGTGTGATGTGGTAAATGCTGAAGGCTGGTGACCAATCACCAATAGGCGGACTATCCCAAGTTGCAACTTGCACTCAATTTCACGTCTGGCATTGGCGTATCCAGTTGGGGAAAACCTACGCACTTCAGCGTCAAGTAGAGGAGCATTTGTCCAAGTGCTGCACGTGACTACGTCGAATCTCAGTCTGCCGGTAAGTTTGGGTAGACAAGATGAGGAAATTGCCGCAGCAAGACCTTACTGACAGCAAGTGCTCTTCGTAATGTGCGCTTATCTCTAAGTTTAAATGTTAGGTCAGGTTGTCAACAAGCAGACGGAAGTGGTTACGAAACTGGTGCCCACGATATGATGAGTCACTGCCACGGTCATGGACACCCAAACCAGTTGATGCCGCGGTCCGAGAACAAGCGACTTATGCCGTGCGTTACAATGGTTTAGTCGTTTACTACTGAATTCATGCATAAGGGGTCGGATGAGTATTCCAATTAGTGTCATTGGGACAACTGATACATCGGAACCTGAGTCGGTGAGGAGCCACATTCCACGGAGCCGTAGTGGACAAAGAGGCGGCGGCTCGCATGCCAGTCGGCTGTAGCTGCCGCTAATGCCAGGCATCCTCCTTTACAGACAAATATGCGTCAGCGTAAAGTTGAACACGACCATGGGGCCCTACACTGGCAAGCTCTACTACCGAATGTATGATGATATCAACATATTCCCGGAGAACGAGAGCGTGCCACGGATCTGCGACGTGATTTTCGGTGAGTCCGGGTAAGTGGAAGATTTCACTAGGCAGCTCGATTACATCCAGAAAAATGCCTGTCATTCCTGCAAACTATTCGAGTTGAAGGTTTGAGCATGAACGCCATGCCTGAGTCATTAAAGAAAAAAAGGACCTCCCTAAAGGGCCTTAAAATTGGTCATCTTGTGCGAATTGAAGCATCTGTTGAGACGTCAAATATGCCAGTTTGACAAATAAATGACATGATCACTTGATTCCTATCCACTTAACTCAAGAGCAGTTGGCTAATGACTGGTAAGAAAATTAACTATCTGGAAGATTGGTCATAAACGTAATGAGGCGGATCAAGAGCCGTGTCGTAGTTGTGCGATAATTGGCTATAGGAACTACTGTCACTCACACTGTAGGTAAAAGATTCACCCCTAGTTGGGGCGAAATCGTTCGTGGAGCTTAACTACTGCAAGAACCAACCTGAACAATAAATTGCCGTCGCCTGACTTTAAACGCCCAATCGGCGGTGAGAGGCCGGGCAACTGGTTCCATATTCATCTGACTAAGAGAAGGAAGTTTAAGTATGCGAAGAAGGCCGTTGTACTCCTGATAGAGGGGGTTGGCAATCACACTACCATTGGCTTCAAGACCATCGAAGCCAGTCAGTTCAAAAACGTAGTCAGCGTAGTGCATCCACCTCGTATCTGGCTCCAGTTCCTAGAGATCGAATAAACCACATTTAATTTACGACACAGACAAACCTTAAATGATCCCACTTGGCTAAGCACTTTTTATTAGGACTACGTCAAAAATTAGGTATTACAGTGAAAATTCTGGCCTTTTATAAATCTGCCTATTGGAGCCCCATCTCAAACAGTTTTTGTTTTTTTTTAATATTGGCTATTGCATATCGACAAGCTTTTTGCAAAAATTGGTATTAATTTACAAAAGTGAAACCAAGAATGGTCATTTGGGATGAAACGCCAGAAGAACGGCCGTACGATTTCCAACGGTTTACAGAATCACTCAAACATCAGCACACACTGAGAGCAAGTTATGTGGTTTATGCAATTAATAAAAAAAAACTGAACAAGGTTGCTGTCAGACGGTACGTATAGCTTATGCTGTAATCCGTATGTACAGAGATTCTTTTCAAAGGATTGCAAGTACTCACTTGTACAACAGATTTAGGAATACTAATGTAGGCAACACCGAAAGAATCACGAAGAAGCAAACGTAGGCGCAGCATAAACCGCGAGAGACATGACTTTAAGTCCCTCGGTCGTTGACCCCAAAGTGGAGACGCGATTGAGTCGATAACTGAAATAAAAAAATTAAGGTTCTTGGTGGCTTTTTTTGTCGAAAACTCTGCAGGTAGGCATGTAAAAATGTTGTCTTTGAATTCATGCAATAGTTTTAATCAATAAAAACCCATTTTTGTGAAAAATATGGTCATGGCGATAGTAGGATATCCAAATGCTAGATGATAGCAAACCTGTAGTGGGTCGAAATACGTCATGTTGGATTGGAAAATGTCAATAGCCCAACAAACATGAAAACTACATGTACCAAAATTCATGGAATGAGACTTTAGCCTAGTTCAGTGGACTTTCTACAGTAAAATATAAAATACCTCGGGCCAGTCACTGCATTTTACCAAGTCGATAATACCCAGCAACACTTTCATGAACCTTGGACCATGCTTCAAACGCGTTATTTGTGCAAAACAATAAAGTAGCAAAAGGACAATTCACAAATGTGTATCATTAGCTTAAAATACATTTCTCATGGCAGTTAGCAGTTAATCTAAATTACAGAGTAGGCCTAACACAAATCCCCGTCGATAATGTGTGAAGTGCCGTCCGCCAGTTTGGGTGAGAGGTGATAAAGCGACTGGCGGTGAGAGCTTCTGATTAAGATGACTTCATTAATACAACATTTGATTTGTTGTGGAAAAATGATAGGATTTGACAAGTCAAAAATTAGGAACTGAATCATTTGTGCTTAAAACCTACTTATCCTCCAAACACCATCTTTACGTTTTCGCAACAGATTCTCAACGTGCTCAAGAACCTTCGAAAGATTTTCGTCGAGGCTAAAAGCCAGGAAAATTGGCCAAACAAAAGACCCTTACCGGAGAAGTGGATTGACCTGAAGTTCATTTAATGTTAAATTTGTAAGTTGGGCAAGCGTTTTGGTGTCAAGATTTTTCGTCATATCAAATTCATTGGAAAGAAATGACTTAGTCGAGGTTTTAGTTGGAATCTATGAAATAGACAAAAGTGACAAATGAACCTCACGTGTGAATTAGGAAGGTTTTTGTATCGCCAAGCAATGTCCAATTGGTCCACTGGAGGAGGTGATTCAGCTGTAGATTCACAAACTCCGGGAATATCCTGTAAATTATATTAGCCATATAACCGGGAGGAATAATTACCGTAAGAAAAGAATCGATTCGATCTAATGGAGATACTAGGCAGAAGTTATGATGACATAAAATTCCTTGTGCTGTGAAAAGTTTCACGAAATAGCGAATATATGTTCGATGAATGTCCTCAACTAAGAAATAGATTATGGGAATGACCATACCAAATAAACTACTGCTACCCAAGACTAAGCCACCACCTACAATGAATGGTCAACAAACAAATACTGTCTTACCTAGAAGATTGTCATAGGAGGGAAGCCCAGATCCGGTGACGAAAGAACCTTGACTAATAAATCTCTTCAAGCCAGATATATGCGTTGGAGGAAGTTGGGCGGGCTTAGATTTTTCGTAATTTTCAAATATATTCATATTAGTTCAGATATCCGTGTGACTGAAATACAAACATGTTAAAATTACCGCAAAAATGTGTACTATCTAACTGCTGTCCATACAACGTTGCTACTGAAGAAGTCACTGAAGCCACTTTCGGATATTCTTTAGACCCACGGCAAAAATAAACGTAAGTTTGGGAATGTACATCCGTACTTGTGACAGATGTGAAGCGGAAATGCATGATTAAGATTGAAGGCCTGCAAGCGTCCTCCATATACTCGGCAACATTTGTCTTGATGTAAAGTTATTCTCTTCCGCAGAATGCCATATGCTTGAGCATGGCGGATGTAAACTAGCGCACTTTAGTGGATCCAAGCTAACAAAGTGGACACCTGGTGACAAACACGGACGGTTAAGGCCGAGAAATTTTGATACAACTTGATATTTAACGCTTTAAGTAAGTTCGCAAATCCTCCCAAAGGTTTTTTTTAAAAATATGATGTGAGTATACGGAGTTACGATAAAAGAAATAGGTTACGGTGAATGTAAAGAACAATTTCAGTGACAATACCGAACATTTGAAAATTTGCATAGCAGGTAACACAACAAAAAATGATTCCATTACGGAATACAAACAACCTATTTTAAACAATAAATTTGACACGCCTAAGCGACTAAGAATATTTTTTTGACACCATTTAAGGTACAGTCCGGAAATATGTACCACTCGCAATATGAACTAAGCAGCAAAAATAACTTTATTAAAACTAACTACAAAGAGAAAAGGGCAAGAAAGTAACTAAAAGCCAGTCCAAAGTCAGTTAACAGAACAAATGCGCCTGTAACGTGCCTACCGAGCGGGGACCTAAATAGGGAGATGACCATTAGCCCGCCCCTCTTAGAAAGCCACACCATCATGGTTAGCTACCAGGCAAACGATAGAAGAATAGCTGGAAGAACCAGATGTATTCCATACTACCGCATACAAACTCAGAGGGCAAGAACTTTGGGAGAGTTGGAGTGGGGAAAGGGGTGGCCGCGAGGAGGGTTGGCGTTGCCCTCGGACTCACGGGCGTGCTTTGAGGAAGGCGAGAGTGCGGGAGGGAGAGGAGGACAAAGAACAGGCCAGACCGACGTGCGTGGGTCGAATGGCTCGCGTCACACGCCAACAATTCGTCAAGTGCGCGTCGATTAAAAAACCATAAAACAATTAGAGATTAGATGAAAACTTTGCTAATTATTTTTGATGAACGTGATTTAGTTCAGTGTGTTATCAAGCAATCGTTATTGCTAATGCAAATATAATTATGTTTGTAATCTTTTGTTGATCGATAACGTGTACATTTATTTTGACATTTTCAAACTTCAGCGACATGTTAAATAACAGAGTTATCTGCAAAACTAAACTGCAATGAGTAAATGGACAGTTCTGAAGACACTAGGTGCTGTATTACTATGGCATGTGAATAGGCATTTGCCAAGAATATTTGCAAAACCTACTAGACCATGAGCCCATGAAAAATCACATATAAATATGAAATGGAAAGACCAAATGCCATCTAGCTGCCTACAAATTCTACAGACAAGGCTTTAATTATTACGTTTACACCTATTTGTCACTAGAAAGACTGGCGTGCACCATAAAATCCTGTGGAATTACATGTGATAATTGATTTGTCACTTTACTCGCTTCTTTCCAGTTGCGATATTTTCAAATAATTTAAACACCTTTATTGGTTTTACACTTTTATGTCCTTTTAATTTTCAGGCTTAGTTGTACTGGGAAATGTGTTTATTTATAGATATTATCATTAATGTATTTTATCGCTTGATTTTCTATGAAATTAGTTATCCAATTGCTAACAGAAACCAATTAATGTATATTTTTTTGCTTTTGACAATTGTAAAACAATTTTGATTTCATGCATGATTATTTTATATTTGCAAAGGTGTGTAAAGATGCGTTTTAATATATCAAACCCTCTCTGAGGTCGAATGTTTCATAAAAGCGCGTTTATAAGATGCACTAGTTGAAGCTTAAATGGTTTTTTTACAGTTTCCTAACATTAATGCTTTTATCTGTTCAAAATTTATTGTTTTTGTTTACTGACTCTGTCGAGTTCATATCAGTGCATTTCACAATTGATAAAAACCATTTAAAACCCTTTTCCTATGTGTCCACAAATATGGATGGCAGACCTCTTGTGTATGCGTTGACTTTTTTATATATTAAATTGTTACCTGATTTTTTTTAGTCTAAGAATAGATAGGGCTTTTTTGACGCTCTTACGTTTGTCCTTAAGTTTAACTAATTCGCCTTGTTTTTTGCTGACACTATTATCTATTCTAAACGACAAATACGTTATAGGTTTATTAATCAACTTTCTCTTCATGACTGCGTATTCTTTTTGCATTTATGTTTCATCTGACTGTAGAAAATTAAATTGAATTATTATTAAATAATATGTTGTTATATACTTTATATCACCACCTGTTGTTTGATGCAAACTATACTCTGACTTCCATTTTTGTGTTACATTATTGCCATTGGTTATCATTTAGTCCATTTCAAACATTCTGTCTTTCTGATACCTACCGAACTATGTCATAGACCTAGTCAAACATTAATTGTCCGCTGTATCAATTTTATGCACAAGTTGAAATTCGTTTGTACATTAGGGCGTCATTTTGATGGGTTTAAAAAGTGTGGCAAGGTTTTTTGACCTTACCACACCCAATTAACTGTTTATTGCCAGCTGACTATTTTTTGGGTAAAGGCACTGTACGTTTATCATGCCCACTTTATCAACAGGAATAAAACGTTTTGGGTGTGGAATGATGGAGGAATGTCACAAATCATTTAGAGGTGGAACGGATGATTCGGACAAAAAGTTGACAGGGAATATTGGTGACCTTCTCATTGAGTATGGTAAGCGCACTTGCAATTATATATTGTTGTAAGTCTTTGCACTTCAACAGAAGATATGAAAATGAAAATGCAGATCACCCCATATAAATTAAGCCTGGAACTCCGAAATCAACAAAATAGCACCAACAAATGCAATAAACCGCCGGATGGCATTTTAATGCAATATATGTGCTAGTAAAATAAGAATATTTTCGCAAAGAAATGATCATTGGCCGTTTTTGAATTCAAACAGTTTAGTTTCCATCCTGATATTTCTTTTAATTATGCCCATAATTGTTAAACATTTTTTTTTTCAATATATTTTGCTTTTCGCCTTTTCAACCTAACTTTAACTATTTAACCAGAAATAGTTGGACGGATCATTAGCTATCTTGTACTTCCATGGACGTAAGTTATAAATTAATAAAAGGGTTGTACAAAATTTTGTATACTTTTTTCAGACAAATGCTTGTTTCCTGTACGATTTCTAGGTTTATAAGCAGAGACAATCCATTTAATGTATTAGAACCTAATGGTTTTAAATCCACGTAATTTGTTGTTGTGATACGCGAAAAGAATGGACTGAATTTTACAAGATTAGCCTTTGAGAAGACAGCATTTAACATGGTAAATTGTTGAAACTTTCTAAGTAATTATGTTGCCAATTTAATCGTGCTTATTACAATAAAAAAATTAGAGCAAACAAATAGGAAACATGAAGACTTGTTATTACTTTTGTGTTTTAGCGAGAGCAGCTAAATACTTTTACATCCTTTTGTAGCTGAAGCATTTTTTGTAATAGGTCTAAAACACTGGAGGCAACACTAAATTATCGTTAGGCTCCACATACGTTTTAAGTGACCACCGGTTCAGGTTATTGTAAGAGATAACTGAGGGGGGTCTTCGTAATCGGAAGCTGACTTATGATCAGTTGTTTTATTCGCTATCTACCTTCTTTTATGTAACATATAGCTATAAACCAAAACTTTCCTATTTTTAGCTTGGTAGTTTCTTTAGTAAAGAATATTACAATGTGTTAATTCTGCATTAAAACCAAAGTGCTCCTTTAACAATGCGTTGAATCAGTATGTCAGCCGGTTTTTTTACCATTTAAGGACACGGCATCACCCTCGAAGACAAGTTGCTAGCTAGCAAGGACAAAAATGCGGTGGATTTTGTCCAGAACTACAGCAAGCTTTGGTGTAAATGTCTAAAAGACACAATTCGAAGCTTAGAGAAGCGCGCAATATATGGTGAGCATACATATTGTTTGTCAAATCTTTTTTTCATAAATATACCATAAATGAGGTACTGCAACTTTGAGAGAAGATGCTCTAGTCGACACAATAATTCTTGAATATTCTGATTTTTTTTAATTTATCGCAATCTTTAAAGCCTGTGCCTGAAGAATAAAAACTCAATTCTGATCATTCAGCGATTTTTGTACCAAATTTGTCTGCCGAAATTCACCCAATCCTACTGAAACCTTGGGATGTTCCAAAGCTTAGTTACTTTTTTTGACAATATTTACGACACTACTGCAAGTCA